TAACTTTTGAGAATAGCATACTGCTTCTACTCCGTGCCGGTGCTGATGTATGCGTAATTAATTAAAGTGCTTATGTGCCTATCAAGCTTACGTAACGAATTATATGTATTATTATAAAAACAAGCTGGTGGTTAATATTATAATACTAGCTTCCGCCCGCGGCTTCGCACACATGGTGTTTTGATAAAAAGCAGCCTATAGCCAAATAACAAAATCGAAGTATAGGATGCTACATAAAATTAACTATTATGCGTCTCTTTTTTTTGGTTATGTTTCCAATGGATAAAAACCCTATAACTTATTAAGTTTCCACTATCCGTCCGTCCATAGATATAATGGTACGGATCTAACTCATAGGTAATCAAAATATATAAAACTCAAAGGTGACTGATATAGTGACCTATCAACGCACAGCCCAAACTACTGGACGGATCGGACTGAAATTTGGCATGCAGGTAGATGTTACGATACTTAATTAAACGTAGGTATGTGTATGTGGTATTCTATATTATACCGTGCCGCATCGAGCGTGGTAACTGTTCCTAAAGTGTGTGTTCAGTGTTCATGTGCGACGGCGCGATGTCTATGTTTTTTTTTGTTGAGTAGGTTATAATGTTAAGATTTTTTAAATCAGGAATGCGCTCAAGTGTCATAAACGTAAGAGTACCTAAACAAATACATATACTTATAATCAAATTGCTCCGAACTGCTAAGCTATAGTGTTATTGTGAGTTAACCAAAAAAGATAGACATAATTATGCTAAGGTTGATTATATTTTAGACTAGCTGTGCCCCGCGGTTTCACCCGCGTTTTTGTCGTTTCCGTGGAAATACCGAGATAAAATATTGCCTATATTATAGCCTCCCTCAATAAATGGACTAAGTATTGAATATTTAAACAGTTTTCATAATTATCAGATCAGCATTTCCCGAGATTACCGCCTTCATAACAAACAACCAAACTTTTCATGTTTAGGTATAATATTAAAAAAAATATAGATTAAGTTAAATTGTATAAGTCAAGTAAGCAATAGCTGTTTATCTGTTCGAAATTCAGCCAAAGTAAGAATTACGACTACAGGCGGGAGTGTCCGTCCAATTTAAACCGGGTTCAAATATCATTTTAAAGTACTTCTGAGTAAATTATATTTTTTGTTTTATTTTCTGAATTGGATTAAAATGTAAAGGCAAATCATTTGGAATCATTAGGATCCGAGGTTTAAATACTGTTTGACCAACCACTGGACCAGTCAGAACTATTATTGCAACTATCACGTTAATGCGAACAAATTTAACCTAAAGTCTCCCGTTACATAAATTTCTAAGTAAAATAATGGGGCACCAATTTTAAACTTGAGAGAATGTGATTGGATGCCCTTCGGGTTTAAAGAATGAAAAAATCCCTGTAGATAATGGACTGCATATTCTTGATCCATTGGAAGTTTAGTTAAAATTAAATCGTTAATTTTGTCAACACTACTGTTTAGACTTTACTCTACTGTACACACTTTAGGATTCTCTCCTGTGTTGTGGGTGCGTTTACAAACATACAATGTCACATACACATGACACTCAGACCCGAAACAACAATTTGTGGATCACACAAAGTGTTGTTCCGTGCGGGAATCGAACCCGCGACAGGTTGCACGGCAGCCAGTTGCCCAGCCACCGCACCGACTGTGCACACTTCCATTGATAATCTTTATTTTCTATTTCGACGATATCTTTTGATATTTAACTCTCAATGCTAGTCTTTTTTTCTCCTAAATCTTGATCAATAGGTATTTTATTTTCAAAATAAGGTACTTTTCCGTCTCCAACTAAAAGTAACTTCAAAGGAAAATTTGTACTAACTCCTTCTAAATATGCTCTCATGTCCGTAGATAGTTTTAAGGTATGAACAAATTTCCATAATAGAGAACTATTCAGGCAATTTTTTACAATGTCTACTTTATTTCCTCTTACTACTGCTGGTAAAGTTTGCCGAAAATTCCCAGCAAACATGACAGTAATCCCAACCATGATTTTATCACAGTCTCTAATATCTATAATAGTCCTATCTAGAGCCTCTACATGAGCTCTATGAATCATGGTACATTCATCCCAGATTATTAAAGTGACATCTTACAAAACTTTGCCTAAAAGGCCATTTTTACGAATAGAGCACACGCTCTTTCTGTAACGGAACGGTTAGGTTATATTAGTTTAAAAGTGTAATGAGCTGTGCGTACGCCAGCTAATATAGTAGCAGCGATTCCAGATGACGCTACTGCCAAAGCTAGTTTTCCCTGAGACCTTACTTTTGCTAATATCATATTAGTAGCTAATGAAAGTTATGCCGGTTCCGCCTCGAGCATCCAAAAAAATATTTTTCCCTCATTGAAACAACACTGAGCATAACACTATTGTTTGCCATTACCTGGTCATTAAAGAACTTGGGTGCATTTACAGTAATATACTCATTTAATTCATTTACATCGTATGGCTTCCGCAACGACATTTCCAAATTAAGATGTATGTTTTTCCTTGGATTTCCTTTTCCTTAGCAGAGTTAGTTTAGAAATGTATTTCTTATACTCTTCAAACAACTTATACTTATAATCATCAACAAATATATTACGAAAAATATTATTACAGGATTTTATGTTGATAAAAAACTCTATGGTCCATAACTCATTAATAAGGTACCAACTCTTAACATTTTACACACATGATAACTTTTAAACGATTGAGAGATTGAGAGGAAATAAAAAAGTATTTTAAAATACTTATAAATAAATACTCGTGATAACATAATGCTTAATTCCGATAAAGAATTATTACGATACATATTTAACGCTTTTTTTCCTTCAGACGATTTAATAATTATTTTGAACACAAAATCGGGTATTGTGATTAAACCATGATAGCTAGATATATGCTCTCGCGGATTTTTTGTAGGTTTTAATAGAATCTACAAACCCGTAGTACATCATTTTGTTCTATGGTCAATAGTTATTGCAGCGCACGCAAAAATAGGTTTTCCATTTTCCTCCTTGTGTTACAAAATAGCAATTTACAGATCCCTCGATAAATGGACTATATAACACTGAAAGAATCATTCAAATCGTATTTTTTTTTGTTTTCGGAACCCGACTTATTAATCCTCAAACACACAAAAATTAAGACGAATTCTGTGCTCTAGCTCCAAAGCACACGCGCACACTGTTTTGATAGATGATTGAATTTGAACTTTGTTTAGTGGTAAGAAAGTGCAAATTTACTTTTTGACGTTAGGAACACACCTTTTCTTCTTTCACTTATTTCTTCGATAACAGTGAGTGCTTGTTATTTAATATGAACCTTATGTATAACAGCAATAAAGCTCAAATTGATTTGACGTTTTAGTTAGAAAACGTTTGTATGTGAAAAAGAAAAGGACTGTTTTTAGGGTTTTCCCGGCAATTATTCGATTTTTTCTTCGTAAGAACCATCCTTGGACTTCAACGAACATCTTAAAAAAAGAATTGGCCAAATTGGTCCAGGCGTTATTGAGTTATGCGCTTACAACACATTTTGCGATCCATTTTTATATATAAGAAGATTTCCGTCATAAATAATTTCTATATAACTTTAACCGCTAAGGCCGCATAATACACGACGAAAACTTATAAAATGGAGCATCATCTTCCGTTTTCACAACATTTTCCTTCACTGGTCTGCTCCTAGTAACTGAAGCGCGATGAAAAGTATCTTATAACCTGCCCAGGAAAACGATTGCATGCCAAATTTCAGTCCGATCCGTCCAGTGGTTTGGGCTGTGCGTTGATAGATCACTATATCAGTCACCTTAGAGATTTATATATTTAGATTAATTAATCATAATATTAGTACTATTTATAGTTGGATATCTGAGTGAGAATATATATCGCTATTCTCTGGTTTGTAGCTGTGTAAGTAAGTAACATCACAGAAATACCACATGAGATGTTCCTCTGTCTTGTCAAAGGTCAGTGCCATATATAATGGGGCATTCAGGGTGGTCAAAATTATAGTAAAAAGTGCCTAGCATGGCTAAAACCAATCTACAGAGCCTGGTAAACTGGCGTAGCGTGGCCAGCCTCTCGGTTTCCTATAGGATACATCTATGATTGGAATAGCTTGCCTGCAACGATCTTCCCTTCCAGTTATAATTTATGTGTCTTCAAGGCTACAGTGAATAGGCTTGTAGCGACATCTATCGGACAACAAGAACAACAGCACCAATCACGTACAAGAGTCTACATCGCGCTATAATAGTTCTCATCGCAATTAGAACATATACAAAGATCCCGACAACATCTGACAAGTTGTGATTTTGGCAAGAGTAGGTCTAACTCATTAATTCAATTTAATTAAGTTACAAATGTTTATAACAGGTTATAGTTTATTTTTATTTATATTTTTATAAAAAGTAAAAAAAGATCTTTATTGCCGACCACTTTTTGTAGTTTGGGCGGTGTTTGGGCGTGTACATTTTTACGTGCACGGTTTTAAAGAATCCATCGCTTTTTTTTCTTTTTATTTTCGAATTCACTTCATGCGCATTCATTTACCTACACGATCATAAATAATACCTACAGACTACGTCAAAGAAATTTTTATTAAAATACTAACTCAAATAGACCTTAGAACCTTTCCTTAGGTTAAATGTTATGAACAATATTTAGTTTTTTAATAAAATAACATTAATAAAATATTTTTCATTACACATAAGGAAAGGCATAAAGGTAAAGATTCTATAAGTGCCCGTTTTTTTTTTTGCAAGAGTTTAGGTTTAATTGTGCTTAGCTCGACAACAATAAAATACCGTCATGCCATAAATTATGATTCAAACTTTTATTTATTTTTCATATTGTTCAACATACATAAACCCGACAAAATGCAAGAAATGTACAAAATTTCAACTAGCACAATATTCTGACGCTGGAACGCTATATAACCTATGTGCATGGTATTTCTGTCAAAATTTATAAATTCATAGAATACATTCAATTCACTTTGTTTTTGTTGTAAAATGTGTAATTGTGCAAAGTAAGTTTGAAGTAAAGGCAATTTAGAGTTTAACCTGAGAATCAGCCAAAGGAAAATTTTCATTTATTGATTTGAAAACTTTAGTTCGCAGTGTTGCAAATTGTGTTTTTAAGTTGAAAACATGTCTCGAGTAACAAGAAGAAAGCATGTGATGAATGAAGCAGCATGGGATGATGATGAGTTACCTAAAGAAAATCAAAGCATTGTTAAAGTTTTGAAGAGTAAAGGAAACAATTTACACGCGGTAAGATTCATATTATTGTCTCAGATTATTGTTTATATGTTACACACTCAGTATATCTATGATGAAATATAAACCTTGTGGCCATGATGATAATATTAATTAATGTAGGTACCATAATAGTTTAAAACAACCTAGACCAATTTTCTACTTTATCATGCTTATTTATTGTCTCTAAGATTAGGTTACTTGCTATTATTATATTCTTAGGGCAGTAATAATTTCATCTTAGCAACATTATATTTACGCGGGTATTAACGCGGAAAATTATAATTTGAATACCTTAAAAGTAATAATTTCATCTGTCTGTAAATAAAATTTTAATGATATACTAGCTTTTGCCCGCGACTTTGTTCACGTGGAAATGTTACTTCTTGCACAGTTTTGGTGTCTGTACCAAATTTCACAGAAATCGGCTCAGTAGTTTAGGCGTGAAGAAAAGACAGACAGACAGACAGACAGAAAGACAGACAGACAGACAGAAAGACAGACAGACAGAGTTACTTTCGCATTTTTAATATTAGTTAGGATTAAGATTGTCTCAACTTAGAAGATGTATACAAAAGCTATGACAAGAAAATTCTAGGTCTTTATATGATTTAAACTTATTTGATAATGAGTTATGATTTCTGATTTATTTGAGTGTTATGTTTTATTTTATTTAACTGAATTTTTCATATTTTTTTAGGTAATAACTCCAATGGGTGAAGAATACTTAGTATCTATGCCAACAAAATTTAGAAAAAACATATGGGTGAAAAGAGGAACATATATAGTTGTTGAACCAATCCCTGAAGGTGATAAAGTAAAAGCAGAAATAGTGAAAGTAATGAATAAAAACTCAATAAAATATTACAAAGAAAATAATGTGTGGCCTAAAGAGTTTGACGACAAGGAGGAAAAAAGTGGTGACAATGACTTATTTGTGAACAGTAATAGAGTGCCAGCTTACTCAAGTGGCAGTGAATCGGACGATGATGACAGTGATATAGATAACAAAAAAAACAGTAACATCAGTGATACAGACAGTGGAAACAATAGTGATACTCATAAAAGATAATTATTTATTCAAATGTTACATACTATACATGTTTAAAATTAAACTTCTTAGTTTAATGTTATTATTAGAACAATGCAAATCTTTTCTCCATGTCCTTTAACACCTACTTGGCAAGTTTCTTTTTATTGTTGGCAACAATAACCATTTGCAATTTACCATAATTTTTTAGTAACATGTACATATTGTACTTTCAGCAAAATAGTTTAAATAGGTATGATATATCCTAATTTGGTAGAATACACATTTTGTTAATTGTGTATTTAGATTTTTGACTGTTTAGCCCTTATCCTACTCAGCCAAACAATGCAAACATGTAAAATATTTAAAAAATATCTAGTGTAACCAAATTACTATAATATTCAGATTGCAACATCAATTTTTTTTATGACATTTTCAAAATGGTATTGTACAATAAAACAAAAGCTAAGGAAATCATATGTACCTATATTGATAACTTAACACTTAATTGACATAATTTTTGCTATAAAGGAACTTTCATCTTACATGAGATCATAATTTTGGCAAAAACATAAGAAATATATACTGTAAATATTAATAAATATTTGAGGAATGTTTACAATTTTGTTTCCAATATTTCTTTGTTAAACAATTTGTAATAAACATTTTAAAATAAAATGTATTATTTTATTACTACATTTTCAATTGAACTTCAATATACAATTTTTTAAATATTTGTATTAGGTAATATCAAAAAGAATGTTGGTGCTTCTAATATTATAATTCAGCATTGAGTAGACTACATTAAATTTCATTCAAGTAATTTGGGCAACAGACATTTGTGCCTCTATTATATTCAACTTGTATAACAAATAACTTCTAAACTAAACATGGTTACATGACCATAAAAAGAATATCAGTAGTTTCAGGGATAACCATGTTCAAACACACTTTCATAGTATGAACAAGCTCATATTGCAATTACGATTTAAGACATAATTTAAACATGCACACATTCAATGGTGTTGGAATGCAATTGAATCCATTTTAAATTTGGAAATGTAAAAACAATATCTATTTGCAAACATTGTTTAGTCTATTTTCATAGTACAGACATCTTATGTGGTGTCATACTATTTGATATCTGCATCAATATCATCAGTCATAATGTATTCATAAATCCTTTTGATCAGCTCAACAGACTTCACTTTATTCCAACCATCAGTCTTAGTTATTAATTTTGCCTGACCATCCTTTATGAACTCTAAGGTTAATTGCTTCAAAGCATTAGCAGAGTGGAGATCAGCCAGTTGTAAGGTCTCAATTGCATTTTCAACTGTAAGTTTCTTATGTAATGCTTCCTCGCAGAGATTCTTCAGCCTGCTAAGTTGGTAATAGTCTGCAGCAGCCAACAACTTCTCCGGTATTTCATCCACTCTTGGAGCTTTGTCACTGTATATGAATGTCAGGACTTCTCTCAACACTTCAGACTCTAATGGAGATTCAACAACATTGGTATAGCATTCAGTTGTGTTATGTTCAAAATGTGCCTTAAGTACAGCGCTTCGACTTGCTAAAACAGCCTTATGCACCTTATATTCAACATCTTCTGCAGATTTCATAGTGACATCAGAAAATAAACCATTGTTTAGTAAATTTTCAAAGTCATTACTCAGTTGTGCTTCAGGGACATTAGACCTGTCCACTTTAATATCATTAGTAACCATAAACTGAAATTTAAGTCTCAAACTACCATCACTAAGTAGGAATATGTCTCTGCCATCATAACTTGCTATATCTCGTTTGAATAAGGTTGCTAAGTACTGCCATTTATTTGCCTGAACGGTATGATACTCTTTAATTACTATTGAACGCTCTTCGAAACGTTTGAGGCATATCGTCAAGATAGATTTCAAGAATACAGGAGTTGGAGACAGGTAGTAAATCTCTATGATGTCATTATCTCTACCTAAGAATTGCATTTTTAGTTGGAATCTTGATTCAGACAAATCACCATTGGGATCCTTAGATTTCTCGGTGCGAAACTCTCTGTTAGTCTTGTTTTCCAGCAGGATGATAAAATTTGGCACTGTCCATGTTATAGTGTTTATTTTAGTTTGTCCTTCGGTACGGGTAGTATAATTAATACTAGACATGGTCTTAAGTATTCCGATAATGTGCTACGCCAATATTATACCGAATAAAGGAACATCGCACACATAAACACCCGCGAATTAAAGCAGTCACTAGCACACACACTGGCGGTCAATTGTCAGTCAAGCAAGCTCAAGCCACTACCAGTCACCCAGTCACTAATGCAATCTGTGCAGTGTGCTGTCACTACTGTCACAGTTCACACCAATCAAAGGCAATAAGAATGAACTTGCCAGTAATAAAAAATGTAATAATGTGATATGAAAAGTGGACATTTTATTAGATTTATTGAACAAACAACAAAAATTAGTTAAGAAAACAACAAATAAGTCATAAACCTATTAAGGTTGTTCGTAACTTATTTATTGATCGATTCGTAGTGTTGTATTTTTAAACACTGTTAAACTTTCGACAAAAATCGACTAATAAATGACATTCACTCTGTTTACGAGGTATGTTTATGATAAGTTCCGCTGAAGAAGTAAGAAACAATAAGAAAAATACATATCATATTGGATAGTTTTCAGCTGAAAACCTAAACTACTGAATTATTTCGCCTCTTTTCAATGTTCATAAAAAGTTAAAACGATAAAAAATAAAATCTACACATCAAAATAAAAGTCGCAAGCTTGTAACATTCTTTGAAAAACCCAAAAACAATTTTGCTCGAACGACGTCGATATTTTTCGCTCGTGAGTTTTCTTTCTCATTGTTTTGGATAGAGAATTGATTTGACAATACAGTTGTCGATTTCACTATCTAATCGTAATGAACTTGTGATCGGAAAATAATCTATTTGATAAAATATCAGTGATTTATCGTAATGTAATAGGCGTTCGATTCATCAAAGCGTAACAGTGAGAGGTGAAGATTACTAAATACCTAAAGAATTCTATTTTTTTCTCGCGACAAATGTGAATTGGTGCTCGTTATGGAGGATTATAAGTTTCTATTTAAAGTAGTGTTGGTCGGAAATGCGGGAGTTGGAAAGACGTGTTTGGTACGTCGATTTACTCAAGGTCTCTTTCCACCTGGTCAGGGTGCCACAATTGGTGTTGATTTCATGATAAAAACGGTAGAAGTTGACGGTGAGAAAGTGAAGGTGAGTTTCTTTAACACTGATACCAAATATGGCATCGATTGCATCATTTGAGAGCTATAATTATTATTTTAATCAGTGAAAAAGTGTTTCTCCCTTTATATGAAAATCTTTTGTGTTGAGTTGCCCTTGTATTTATTTGAAGTAAATTAACAATAAAGAACTGAATGACATTTTGTCTGTTAAATACATCAAGTGCTTATATTTTAATATCATTTGCTTTGACCCTAAAGAGAAATTTGTAGAAAACCCAAAAGCTTTCATTATGATTATTATTGTTTTAGTCTTTCTTATAACCAACTTTTTTATTATAATATACTTCAGATTGATAAACCCTCATAGAGTGTAAATTAAAATAACAAGTGGTGAAAAAAGTCTCCTTTTTTGGGGATAATTATGTTATTATTTTAGTGTTATTATAATAATAATTAATTAATTAATCAATCGAAATCAGCCAGGAGCCTCTATTGCTGGACAAAGAACCCCACCTTTGTTCTCCACATCAAATATTAAGTCACCACTTGTACCTTTTGACTCCCTGTGGGTCTAACAATCTAGTACAACCCGGGGGGGTTCGTTCCCTTCCAATTAACAAAGACTATTAATAAATCTACCCTTTACTAAATTAAATTGAATAATATTGGATTATACAGTGGTATAGTGTAGCACATGTAATGATTACCTTTCCTATATTATTTCACATATTATTTTCCTTTAAGTCCTATAAATAATGTTTAGGTACATACTACTCACAATTATTCATTTATCACTAATAAAGTGCGAGCCTTTTGCCACATACCAGGCCGACATATGACTGCACAGTTGGCATATGACCTAGCCATTCAATTCGCACATACAACAACCCTTTTTGATTCACAAATTGTTGTTCCGTGTCTAGGCATTATTTGTATGTACAAGTATGTTTGTAAATACACATGAAATTCACACAGTAAAGAAGTTAGATGATATGTGTAAAAACAAGAAAGAAGAATTTACGTCTTACTGAGAATTGTCTGCGAAAACAGAATTCTATATGGTGGAAATAAACTAATAATATATTGTTTTTCTATTTTAGTTGCAAATATGGGACACTGCTGGTCAAGAGAGGTTCCGTTCAATAACTCAGAGCTACTACAGATCTGCTCATGCTCTGATACTGGTGTATGACATATCTTGCCAGCCGACGTTTGACTGTCTACCAGATTGGCTTCGAGAAATTGAAGAATATGCCAACAATAAAGTTCTTAGGATATTAGTTGGTGAGTAGATTTCTTTTTAAATTTGGACACAAACCATTTATATATTTATATATATAACATTATGCTATTCTACATAGGTCGTCTCAGATTTGAGTAAAAATAAATCTTCATATATAGGGCTAGTAAAACCATTTTAATTTTTCCTTGTCATCATGCTTAGACTAAGACTGTTTTATTTATTAACAAGTCTAAACATTTGTTTGCAAAAAAATTATTTTCACTCTTTAGTGACATTTGAAACCATCAAGCTTTTTTTTTATTTGCAATACAATAAATTGTAATTATAATTGTTTAACTAGACCTTTTGTTCAAATTTGTTATTCTTTATATGCATTACATATTTTATTGAAAACCTTACAACAACTGATCTTGTAGTTTTTTTAATAAGTTACATAATTTATTGCAATTCAAATAAATAACTTATTCCATAGGGAATGAAAGTGTTCAGTTGGCATAATAATTATTGTAATGGTTTAAAAGAGAAAGTAAATTATCTTACAAGGCCTTGTGTGGTCACTGCACAGTTGACATGACCTTAAACAGGAACTTGCCAGTAAAGCTATTGATTCATTTGACCCTAATTTTTCAACCATAGCTGGAAGTGATCAATTTGATGAGGCCCATTGGTGTTAAGGACAAGTTCTTTTATTACTTTCACATGTTTTAAATGTATCCATAAGTAACTTTTACCAGCTACCACCAGATTCACCTCTAGTTTCGTTATAATTGCAGACTGTAATCTATCTGTAAAAAAACCTGTTAATTCTACACAGTTAAACAAGTTTAAGTGAATTAATAACAAACATACATCTATCCATCAATCCATACTTTTTTACGTAGTTTTGCTTATAAATTTGTTTATAATATTATCCCTATAACTTAATTCATGTGTAGGTATGTGTTAACCGTAGATTCATAATCCCTGTCTGTTGTTGTTTTTAATACTGTCTCCCGAAAATCATATAATAGTTGAAGTAAGAATATTATCAAATACCCAAATACTTGGTACTTTTATGAAGTAAATAAAACTGTCGTCTCGATTCCATATGAGGGTAATAGGGAGCGAGGTCGTAGGCGGTCACCCACGCCTTAAAAGCCATTCGATCTTGTTTGGTGATGACTCATAAATCTCTAAACACTATTATGCCTTAAATCCTAAATTGTAGCTTAATCTTATTATTAGATATTGATGTAAGGATGATAATATTATTAGGATTATTTAATATAACACTTATATAATTTTTATCATAAAATATCCGTTTATTTTATGAAAAAAATCTTGAACTTTTTTTTGTAATTACAAAATTAATTAAAACATTAACTGTTGCGTGACGTCATGTATCTTTACATTTTTTTGTGAACGATGACAAACTTCATAGAAATCGCTATAAGATTTTTTTTCTCCTATTTTGGCAAAATAAATTATGAGCCCACAGTTTTTTATATCCTTTTCAATACAATTTCAGGTAATAAAACTGACAGAGAAGACAGGGAGATCCCAAGGCACATTGGCGAAGACTTTGCACAGCGCCACGGCATGTATTTCTTAGAGACATCAGCTAAAGAGGCTGAAAACGTCGAGCGATTATTTATGGAAATAGCTGTTGAACTCATGGAAGTAAGTTTACCTATTTACCTAATCTTTGTAACACAAACAAATATTGAGAGGGATAGTATGCCTTCATTTTTAAACTTATGACGTGACCGTTACGTAGCTCTATTTTAATAAATAAAAGAGTATTTATTCTGCTTTAGCTAAACGAAAAGATGGGGGCTAAGTAAGTAAAGCTAAGTGTAGGAGAGCCACGCTTCGGCACGAATGGGTCGTATCAACCGGAGTGATACCACGGCCTCACAGAAAACCAGCGTGAAACAACCACAGCGTTGTTTTGCCGTGTGAGCGAGCTTACCGGAAGCCCAATCCTTCCCCCACCCTAATCTTTAAATCTCCAAAATCCAAAAAGTTTAGCAACGCACTCGTAACTACTCCATTGTTGCGGGCTTGTTTACCATCAAGTAATGCGCCTGCTCATTTGCTGCCCTATCACATAAAAACAGATGAGACAGAGCAATTCCTACTCCTAAAAAATATTGCTAAACTTCTATAGTAACGGGAATAAGGACCAGACGAGGATTTTTGCAAATATTCAAAGCCAAAGCAAATAATTTGTTTCAAATAGTAGTACTTAATGTACACACTTTTCAACGTTAAACAAAAAATAAAATATCAACAGTTAACTTTCAGTCTGTCGGTCTGTCCTCTAATGAAGCTATTTTAAGCTCGTTCCAAGGTATTCTTTTGATTCTAATTGAGAAGAACGAGCTAGAAACACCATGGTAACTCTTTTCCTTTCAAGATTAACGCCAAATGTTCAGAAACGTGTAAAGGAAAACTTCTAACGTAGTTATTATTTTTTTATGGACTTGCAACCCATTGTTTAGGTGACTCGCAAATCATAAAAAAGCGATAAAAATACAGATACAACGTTTTATTACGAGTATTGAGTCATTAGACACATGATTTACCTAACAAAAAGGTTTTTTGAAGTTATTCCAATAAATTCCCACAATTATTTTCGGATTCGCTAAAATCGAAAAATGCCAGGGCCGTGAATAATTACATTACCATGGGCCATCGGTTTGTTTAACACTTATTTGGTACTAGCTTCCGCCCGCGGCTTCCCTCGCCTGGTATGTTGATAAAATGTAGCCTATGTCCTATCTATTCCGGAGTGTATCCTGTTGCCAAATTTCATCCAGATCCGTCCAGCGGTTTTGGTGTGATTGAGTAACAAACGTAAACGTAAAGTAGTAAGATAAATTATTTTTCCCTTATAATATTTTCGACTTAAATACTTAGCAACGAAAAACATGTCAATTTACATCTGTTCAATTTTTGTTGTTTGTACATCTGTTTGTTTGGATTGTTTTAAACGTTTACCTACGTGTTGTATATGTTACAGTGCGTTACAGGCATTGACTAGAGTTAATGTTGTAAATCTCGGAATCGCCTAATTATCTAATTTACTATCGACGAAGGTTTTTCTTTCGGTCTTTCTATTGTATAGGCGAAGAAGGGGATCCATGCTTGATTCTTATTTCAATATTCACATAATTTATCAACTCAGACCTTAGGCTACAATACATTATCTTATGAAATAAGAAGATATGATATGTTATACTGTTAGTTGTAAGTAAACTCCAGGACTGACCATTGAACTTGGCACCCATTTGGATCTCACTTCGTCGTCAATTAACAACCAAGGCACTTATCATAATATTGAATTTGGCTCCCATTTCACATATTTATGTTTTTGATTGGATAATACTCTTTACATATTTCTTTAATCGTCACCTAAATTTGTACTAATATTATTTCTCTTAAGTTAATCCAAACTAATATTATAAATGCGAAAGTAACTTTGTCTGTCTGTCTTTTTTTTACGCCTAAACTACTGAACCTATTTGTGTGAAATTTGGTACAGACATAGTTTGGAACTCAACAAAAGACAGTATAGTTTTTAAAGTAAAAAATCTGCAGGTAGTTACTATACCACGCGAACAAAGTCCCGGGCAAAAGTTATAATTGAAATTAATATTTTTCGGAATCTCCGAAATTTATCCATTTATCTGGGACGTTTATTACGGATGTTCAAGAATTGTACCTGTTTTGGAATTGGAAGGTAGTCTTTTCTCAAAAACAAATCTGTGTTACTAACCTACTCTTTTTTTTAAATTCCAGCAAGCAAAATGCAAGGAGTTGCCGAAATACGACGGCAGCTTAGGGCCGATCAACGGGAAAACAACGTCGGTAGGTGACGGATCGTGTTGTCTCCGCTCGTAAACTTAACGAATTTATCTCATTGATATTAAAATAGTAACAAATTCTGCTGCGGTGTTTTTGAAAAGAGACTTAATTAGTTTCTATAAAGGGTAGGTTTTAAAAGGCCAATGACGGTGTTTTTGATGGGCTCCTTTTGTCATCATATAAATAGAATTTTGCCGTATTATTTTACCATTCATCAAAGGAAAGTCTGGCGATTTTATGTCATACGAAGGCAAAAAAGCTACCATGGAATAAGCTAAAAGTACATAATCGTTTTGTGGGTTTAAACACAGTCATACAATAATGTAATAATAAATTCAATATCACCTTACGATACTGACAATAAAGGAATTGATATTTTGTTGTAAACGAATTAGTAAGTACCTATCGATTTTATATTTTTAGTCGATTTATTTTTATTGATTGTTTTGTTTTTTATATTCTTGCCAACGACGAGAAACTGAGAATTTTTTATTTGTATATTTTGTTTTTAAAGTATTAAAACTTTTCATGAACACCGTGACAGTCGTGTCGTATATTTCGTAGGATGGAAGTCATTCCACTCGCTTTAAGTGCTGTGCCGTTGTCACAATGTCATGACATTTGTTGTCGTATTGTCATTTTCATGTCAATTCGTAGAAGTAGTGTTGATACCATTTTACTGCATATCAAATATTTATTCTATTAATTATAGTAAAAAAATTGAGACCAAGTATAGGTTTACTCGACTAAAAGTATAGCTCGTTGTACATCAGTGGTAAATTTGACTTTCGCCAAGTATTACTACTGTTGTGCAATTGGCTGTATACATATACACATAACGTTTAATGTACGACGGCGTAGAATAGCGAAATCTTCGTTAGGCATCTAAGTTTTTTTTTGTTTTTTACTCTATAAAATTATAAAGTATTTAGTCGATTAAAATCGATGTATGTATCTACAATTTAATTGTCAATCTTATATTGAATTACCCTTTACAAATAATGGCTTCATCAAATTATAGTTTATCTGCGTGTAAAGGAAAGTAGCGTCGAGTTAATTATAAATCATGTTAAGATGCAATTAGTAGTAATTTATTGTATGTTGTAAAACTTGTAAACCAGTTGCCAGTTGTTATTTAACAAAGATTTTAAAGATGATCTCCCGTTCTACGCTGGTTTTGTTACAATAGTCATGACATTGTATCAATGAAGTAAACAATTTTGCTGTTTGCAACTTTTGTTGTTAATAAAATAACTTAGTACCTATTGTCGTAATTGTTCGTAAAAATGTTGCAAAGTAATATTTTCATTAATTATTTATTATTCCATTTCATCATTTGCGCGTTAAATACCATGGAACTTTGCATTTGTGTTCTATATCTAAAGGTAAATAATTATAATACTAATGAAATCAGTATTGTACTTAACTTTATTTTAAAGTATGTATTATGAATTTCATTTGACTTCAAAAATTAAGGTATTATTTTGAAGCATTTTTACACTAAGTGAGAGAGGTTAGAACATCTCTCGGTGTGGTTACTAGATAATGTAGGATAATGTTACTGAAATACTATTTTGTAATTACCTAGAATTTAAAGTACTATAATATTAGAACTAATAGTCACAGGAATTATTGAATCAGAGACTGTCTTACTAAAGGAAAATATTCATGTTTTTAGTGAAATTGAAGTGGTGACGCGAACATGGAAAGTTGTCTCTTGATGTGAAATTTATTTCTCAGTAGATGCCAATTGTGTGTATCTTTTCTATATCATTTTCACAGTAAGAAATTTCGTTTTCTTAGTGTTAACATCCTTTTTCAGAATTACTTTATTTTATTTACAACATTTATGCATATAAGCAACAACTTGAAGTTAAATTCATAATGCTGGGACAATTAATTATAGATTAAGATCGATTTTTCTTACATTCCAAAATGCAGTAGTTAATCAGATGGAGTAAATTGTTGTATTTTCGACTAATTTTTTTATTCAATCGAGAAATGTTAATGATGTGATCTCTTATATTTTTTTGTTTAAGTATTTGTATAGATATTACAAAACGCATACATATTGTTGTACATTTATTAATTTTGCTATCATATCATGAAAGCTACATAATAGTGTTTTAGTAAATTGTTAATTTTAACTTAGCATTAAACGATTATATTTATTTTCTTGTTGTAGGTGCCTATTTTGAAATTTTATATGTTAATTTTTATACTAAACATCACACGTAACTGTATAATGCACTTGATGTTTTAAATGTTTTTTTTATATATAATAAAGTTGTATATTTCATGTTGTTCGTAATTTTGTGCAATATAAAGTTTACTTTTGTCGGCCACACTTGCCTAGTTGATGTCACTGTTTTATTAATTATCATACATAAATATATTTTAAATCATGTTATGAATTGCGAATTTTTATGCTTTTTTATAATGTTGTATTTATCAGAACAATTAAAAGTTGATTTGTGGCTGGTTGCACAATTATTGGATCTGAAATATCTAATTGAATAAATATTTCTCCATATTATATTGAAATTAATCCTCACCAAAGAAATTGAATTATTGTAATACTCGGAATATAATAAATCACTTTGGATATATTTTTGTATTTTTTTTAAACCTTTTGTCTGTTGCGTGCCTTGGGAGTAAGCAAATACCCCTAAATTAGGTACTTATGACTATTGTCATAGGTGTCAGGGCAAACCCTCTCAGCGTGGCATAAGTACAGGCAGCTCTCTGCTCACATGCTCCCGATAGGACAGTATTATGAGTTCCAGCTAAAGTGTATTCCGTATTTGACTAAAATGACAGCAGACTCCAAAAGAACTGCGATTAGTCGTGTTTTTTAAATGAGCTTTTTACTCCGTCTTTATTAAGATCTAGTAGTGCTTCAGCTTTTTTTATGATGGGAAAATCATTAAATAACTTCTCCCATTGTGAGGAGAGAAGAAGTGCCTGACTGTTCGTCCTCCTGCTTTTGGCAAAAGTGCTCTAACCTATGGCGCGGGCATCGAAGTTATCAAATTCACGATGCTTGGTTTTAAAGAGGTTTAAAAAAAGTTAAAATGCGATTCTGCAGACATCAGCATAATTCTTGTAGTATCGCGGGTTCATTTCTAGTTTTTATTGTGGGGTTGTTCTGAATGTCCATATGTTTGTCTGTATGTGTTGGTTTTATAAATGGTTACAACCTGAGAATACAAAAATAATAGAAACAATATTAAACTGCTAACTGACACAAAGTGTAGGTATTCAATATAATATACAAAAAAGAAATCATCATCATCATCAGCCTATGAGAAAAAAGAAAAAGAAAACATAAATATCCAAACAATACTGCGTAAACTGAAACAGAGCAGCTGTAGAGCATAGTGTTGTAAAAGTTACTAAAAATATTGGTGCTGACTAAAAGAAAAATTTCTCTCGTATTATCGTAAAATTACCAATTATTAACATTACAAAAATATACAAAAAATAGTAATAATATTTAAGTAAAGTCCAAAATTTGTAGAAATCGGAAATTGAGAATTTATAAATATCTTTTCTGAAATGTCATCGACTGGCATCGACTACCTACCATGTTTATATTGTTTATCGATCTACTCTAATGTCGCTTTTGAAATGGCCGACGTTTAGGGGGAGTGTCTAGCGGAAATCGAAATTCTGAGTAATTTTGACCAGATAACGTAAGTAGTTGAACATAATATTTATTTATTACGGCAAATAAAGTAATGGAACATATAACTGCATCCCAAAACTCTGCCTCAATAACTGTTGTGAGAGTTTCCGGTGCGACAGCCGGCCAAGTTATTCAAAACAAAAGGTGTTTTTACGGTATTTTGTACATTTCCATTCAGGAATTTCAGGTGACGGAAAGAAATTCTATTCTATATTTAGACTCATCATAGAATTTTTATAAAAAAACATATTTTCTGTTAGAATTACGTTATGTGATTTTGGTACAAAGAAATGCTCTACCCATACTTAAGTAGCCTGATTTTTTCTAATTAGAAATGTAATTAGTGTAAGTGATATATTTACCGTCGGCTTAAAATACCGTAACTTAATGTAAGACTCTCTTTTTAGTTATAAAAAGTATTTGGTGTTAAATTAAAAAAAAAAATTGTTTCAGACTAGTACACCTCATACATTCCAAATTTAAAGACTGAGAAACTTTTTTAAAAAAGTGGATAACCATGGCTTGGCGTTTCAAAGCCTCTAAGTATAAAAATGCAGCGCCGATTGTGCCTAAACCAGAGGCATGTATTCGGGACATTTGTGTTGGATCATATCAGACCTATGGAAATAACATTTGTGCGTCTGCTGCCTTCATGGCTTTCAACTGGGAGCATGTCGGGTCGAGCATGGCTGTACTTCCCCTGGACGACTGCGGGAGAAAGAGCAAGACAATGCCTCTGCTGCATGCACATTCTGACACCATAACTGACATGGAGTTTTCACCCTTTCATGATGGCTTGTTGCTGACAGGATCACAGGATTCTTTGGTAAGTATTTTTTATATATACTATATTTTGTATTCCACTATTCTCAGTTCTCTCATCAATTATTAAGCATAACATTAAAATAAGCTTAACACTGTTTTGTAGGTCAATCCATTTTATTGTCATCATACATGCATATTGTTTTTTTAAATCAATAGGGAAAACTAGGTCGAAAAATCTGAAAGAGTTCACATTGAACTATTATCCTTTCAATTGTGGTAATTCAAGACAGAATAGTAAGACAATAAGTGTGCTAATATCGGCATTAGTTTAGGGTTTGATGAATTAAGGATATGCAATCCTTTAAATATATTCAATTATTTTGATTCTAAGGATAGTTGTAAAAGATAAATTAAACATTTTGATGGCAACCACCATTAAAAATTCACAGTAATAAATAAAATCCCTAATAATTCAAATCCTTAATCAAAGGGAATAAGGGCTTGAATTGCCTAAATATATATCAGTGGTACCATTTTATTAATATTTTGGCTTGAGATGATATTAGCTCTGTACATGTGCACACATTTACATAGACCTAAATATTCACTGAGGTGTGGAAACTAGATTTTGACTTTCCAACAGCAATATTTTAGCTATGATGACTTGAAGATTTCTATTAATGTTCAGACTTTAGATGGATGGAATAAGATTTATGCTGCTTTTTTGCAAGAGTATAAGCAGGTTTATCTATATACCACTAGATTTCAAATAATGCTTTAGAAATCTAGGTCTGACTTCTTAGGAACATTGTAAAGACTAATGATATAAAATTACTGAACTGATATATTATTTTTAATGTCAAAGTTAAATTGCCCATCAGTCTGTCTGTCAGTGTAACGAGACTAGGTGCAAGTGCAAAACTAAACTCTATTTGTCTCAGCATGCTCAAAATGTAACTGATTAGGACTACTTTTTGTTATGCTTAGAGACTAGTCACCACGCAGGTTTTTCGTTGCGTGGCTATATCATATATTATCTTAAACTACAAGCAATTCTTGTATATAACTACATATATAAATCTGGGAAATACCTCCAACTATTTGCATAGGATTTTGTATATACCGATTTTCCGGGTCGATAAATCGACCCAGATAGACTTCCATTGCATAAAGTTACAAAAAAAAACGAGCTAAGCTGGGTCATCCAGGTACTATTTAAAATATAGGTATATGTATATGAGAGAATATTACAATGGTTGTGTCTTATATCTGTGGTTTATTACTAAATGGATTATTATGTTGCTTGAATAACATCTTAAGATGTTGTTGGTAAAAAAAAACAGCATAATGTAAGACAGCTGGGCCTGATTATACAATGGACAGAAAGTTAGATTTTAAAAATTAATTATTTGAATTATCCCAAACTAGGTCTACACAGCGATGTTGCATCCAGTCAAATTTTGTTAAGTCAAACAATTATTGAAAGGATTTACGAAAATTAAAAAAAAATTGAGAACTAATACTCAAAACATCGGAAATATGAAGGCAATGAAATTATTATGTGTATGTCTATAAAAAGTGATAAATATAGATAGCATGTCACACTTATCTTTTGTACACGGAATTTGTACCACAGATAACATTTGTCATGGATGCACATTTCTATGGCGTAAAACTTTTAGAGCACATTTGCGATAATGTCCTCCTGACCACATTCCAATCATGTTTTTTTTACTAGGTCGAGCAAGAGCATAAAGTCTCCAAAAATATATTTAGTACCTATATTGGTTATATGGTTATATATGGTTGGTATGGGGAAATCGAGATATTTTTGAAGATACGCCAAATTATTCACTGCAAAATACCTTACGTTTCAATTAGTAGCTTTGTTTTTAGAAATTTTAAAGATATTGTATGTCCCTCTAAATTTAGGACCATAGTGCACATCCACGAATAAAAGAAAAAATATATTTGCGGTTCTTTTTTTAATTCATCGGAATTCATTGATCCGGAATGTAGCCTGTCGGCCCTACACTATGTTTTGATCACCAAAGAGGTGGAAAATATTAATCCATTCTTCCTTTGTAGTATGAATTGTATTGTGTATAATTATACAAATCATGTAATTGTGTGTATGTATTGACATTATTAGACATAAATAGTTACAGGAAAATGTTCTACAATTATAATTAAGTATCTATAATATAACATACCTAATTGTAACTTAGTTGCATATTGATCCTACACTCATAGCCAACCTATAATACTTACTTTCGGCATTTGAAAGGATATTTTTTTAACATGTATTTATATTATATTTGTTTCACTTTCCATTACTTTATAATTTGACACAAGGAACCAACATTTTTTATGTGGAGTCTTAGAGACTTAAACAGAAGTGCTGATAGTGGTATAATTGCCGACAAAAATAAGCTTATTTGAAGTTACGTCTTTATTACAAACTAGCTACTCCTGCGCAGTTTCACCCGCTGCTCGGCTCCATTTGATCGTAGCATGATGTTTTATAGCCTATAGCACTCAGGAATATTGTAGAAAGAATTTTGGAAATCCGACCAGCGCTTCCAAAGATTACCCCTTACATACAAGCTTACAAACATACAAATTTTACTTCTGTGTAATATTAGTATAGACTAGTGGTGGCCTGTCCCCAGTTTCGCTCATGTCCTATTACCAGATGTTTCCTTTAAATGTATTGAATTTTTCTTTGACTCAAACTATGCAATGTCATTTTTTTGTATAAACAACGTTGCCCCTCACTAGAATTTTCTCCTGTGTCGCGGGTGTTTTTACAAACATAAAAAGTCACATAAAACAACACTTTGTGGGTGTTTCGTTGCACAAAAATTTGTGGTGCAACGAAACACCCACAAAGTGCTGTTCTCATCCTTTCCCTCCCCCAATCTTTAAATCCCTAATCCCTAAAATGTTGGCAACGCACCCGTAACTCCTCCGTTGTTGCGGGTGTCCATAGGCGGCGCTGATTGCTTACCATCATCTGCTAGTTTGCCTAAATAGCAGAAAAAAATCTAAAACTGATTCAAGTTTTTCTTCAATATCAACGGACATCGGCTTGTTATAATTTTATTATGTGTTTAAATTTATTGTCATTTGTTCTGTGCGTCGGATAGCTCGTTGAGTCATTGCCTCGTTGGCTTTGCACCTGATCTCTTTCCGGTAGTGTCGAATTGCCGTCCCATCGGGCCACGAGAAAGCGTTCTGTGATTTCGCACTTGTGCTGCATAATAATCCCTATTATAACCTGATCGGTTGTTTGAATTGGTCTCAATAGTTTTATAGAAGACGACAATTTTCTTATTTTTCTTAGGTATTTAGTTTTTATTGGTTTAGGGTCAACCCTACTAACATCGTAGAAAAGCTGAGCATTTTATGAGATCATTAAAAAATATTATGACTATAGTTATACTATACATTCCAAAATTAAACAACCTCATAATATGGTGGTTGATCGTTCTACCAGGGTTGGATTTTGCCTTTAAACTAATTTATCGTTCACGCTAGTTTGGCAATCTAGAGCATTCTCAACGGAACTTGCTAGAACAAAAAAAAAACAAAGAAAAATCATCAGAATTTATCGCACTCGCACCATGTGTATTCACGAACTACAATTCCGCACATCACCGTGTATTAAGATCACATAAAATAAAAAGCCCGTGATATTAATAAACAGTGGGCCTCCTTTATCATGACTCGTTAGAGCGATCGATCGGTCCCGCGATCTCATCAGCCCTAGAAAGCGGGTTGGAGATTGCAGTTTAAAATCACATCATCAGCTTATAAGCACCTGCTAAGCAAAGGTCTTTTCGCACAAGGAGAAGGTTTGAGCATTTACCACCACGCTTGCTCAAGACGGATTGAAGATTTCAAACTCTCCAATTTCAATTATAAATTATAAGTCGAGGTTTCCTCACGATGTTTTCGATCACCGTTTGACAGTGGTATCTAAATAATCATCGAAAGTACTTATTATAACTCGGAAAAGGTCACATTGGTTCTTGCAAGGTTTTCGGCTCGAATTGGTTCGGTTCGAAACTCATACATGAGAAGCGGGTCTTCACCTCGGGGCCACCACGACGTTGCAGTATAAAATGCTCAGGATTATTAGAGAGCGCTGCTGTGCAGTCCCGTAGCCAGATATTGTAACCCTGCGAACAATTTCTGAAATAAATTGTATTAATTTCTTGGTTCTAGGTGAAAATATGGCACATTCCACCTGAAGGTTTAAAGGAGTCTCTATCGACTCCAGAGTGTACGTTGTCTCAAAAACAGCGTCGAGTCGAGAATGTTGGCTTTCACCCGGTGGCTGATGGCCTGATACACGTCGCTTCGGGCCACGAACTCGCTCTTTGGGACCTCACTAAACAAAAAGAGGCTTTTGGTAAGTTTAATGGATACATTAAAATTTATTCCTAAACAACGATTTCCCCTGTATGGTGAAGGATTTACGGCGTAAAGACAAGTCGCCATAGTACGATTTATTTTTGCGTGAACTCTATCGAAAAGTTACGTTAGTTAAGTTAGTAAGTTGATTGGTTGATTTACTTCTAGCTGGTCGACTTAAGCTAACTCGCATAGGTATTCTCTTCGAATGTAACCATAATCAGTGCATACAAGTTGCACTTTAAGCCAGATATGAAAATATCTAACAAAAAATAAGAGATAAAACTTAATCAAGTTTATGTGTGACTGCACGGTTGGTGCGGCGGCTGGGCAACTGGCTGCCGTACAACGTGTCGCGGGTTCAAATTGTTGTTCTGGGTCTGGGTGTGATGTGCATGTGAAATTGTATGTTTGTAACCGCACCTACGACACAGGAGAAAATCCTAGTGCGGGGCTATGATAAAAAAAAAAATACAACATATAATTACGCGGGTATTTATGAAACGCGAAATTTTAATATATTTGTCCATTATTTCTATGGACCCAATAAAATTAAAAAAAGGGCGATTTGTTAAATTTTCCCTTAACATTCAACAGTGAACAGAGATCACGGTGAGGTCATACAATCGACTTCGTGGAAGAAAGATGGCAAGTTGTTGGCAACATCTTGCAAGGACAAGAAGGTTCGCATCATAGATCCGAGGGCGGCCACCGCTGTAGTAGATGTTGCTAACAGCCACCAGAACATTAAAGACAGCAGGATTGTCTGGCTTGGAGATCAGGATAGAATATTGACTACGGGTAAGCTCTTAACAATATATTACCAAATTATTACTTTCACCACATCTACTTTAGAGGATACGGTGGAGCATACGGTAGCGGTTTGCCCTGCCTGGGCTGAGCACCGCCGTGTCCTCAGGGAAGTGATTGGCGGCGGTGACCTGCCGGGCAGCTCGCCGCCCGACCAGAACCAGGCCCGAGCGTACGGCGCGTAGCCTTCCGCGCGCGCCTCAAAAATAGCCAATAGCCAATAGACCACCACAGACGGGGCCCTAAAGGGCTGATGTTTGGCCGGGTATGCGGGGTAAGCGCAATGAGGCACCGCGACCTCGGCCCAGAGCAGGAAAAGGAACAGGGGGGTTTTAGTCAGTAAGAGTCTGACACTCCCTTCCGCCCGGTCCTGGGCGGGAGAAGACATTTGATGATTTACCCCTCACAAAAAAAAAACACATCTACTTCATATTTAGTTTCCAATTGAGGCATCCATTTTCTGGTTAATTCTGAAATAATTCAAAATCTCGGCAGTTTTGTAATTCATGTGTAACTAGCACTCTACTCCTCTGATTAATAAGCAAAATAGCTGTTCTCGAGATTTACGCTTAGCAACACATACTCATTTTACATTTTTTTTTTACGTAAAAATAACTTCAAAAAAGGAGACTTCAGACAGACTTCAACATCAGAAATGCACACAATTAATGCAAATACATGGCAATAATTATGTGGATAGATTATTGCCATTAGCCGGGCTTTCTAACAGATCTTTGTTTTGTACAAACGACTTCTCCCCATATCATGGTAAGCGATCAGAGCGCTCATGGGTATCTGGAAAACCAATAAGGCTGTCTGTGATCTTAAATAACTTCTTTTTATTTCATCAGGTTTCGATTCAGCCCGTCTCCGTCAAATAATGATCCGTGATATCCGCAACTTATCACAAACACAGAAGACATTAGAGCTGGACTGTTCCACTGGAATCCTGATGCCGCTGTTCGATCCCGACACTAATATGCTGTTCCTAGCTGGAAAGGGAGACACTACAATCCTGTACATGGAGCTTACGGACAGGGAACCTTACCTCATTGAAGGATTGAGACATTCCGGTGAGTTAGTAATACGAAAAGATCATTCAACAAATTTAGGAAGCCTTATTTATTTTTATAATTTAACTAGCTTCCGATCGCGGCTCTGACCGCGTGGTATGTTGATAAAAAGTAGCTATTCCGGAGTGTATCCTACGTCCAGCCGTTTTGGCGTGATTGAGTAACAAACATCCAAACATCGTAACTTTTCGCATTTATAATATTAGTAAGACTAGTACCTTAAATTGAAATTAACTAGCGGCTTCGCTCGGATGTAATGCTGATACTAAATTTCTATACTATTCAATGGAGGATATTACACAACATATTAGAAAGAATTCTCTTCAATCACTCTGTTTATTAAAAAACCGCATTAAAATCCATTGCGTTGTTTTAATGATTTAAGCATACATAGAGATATAGGGATAAAAAAGCAGTTTTATACTATGTAGTTATGTTATGAAAAGTCGAATTATAAAATCATCATCACTAACGCGTCAGGATCGTTTTATTTTAAGTTGTAGTTCAATCGTCAGATTTTCACGCTGTTCCATATATGCAAGAAAAATTGAACATATTTATTCTTGATTGTAAAAACGTCCCAATGATGTATTGGTCGACTATTTTAAGTAACTTTTATGTCACAGGGGAACAAACAAAGGGTGCTTGCTTAGTACCGAAGCGAGCTCTTCGCGTGATGGAAGGAGAAGTGAACAGAGTGCTACAACTGGCTGGGTCCTCGGTTGTGCCTATCATGTACCAGGTACCGAGAAAGGTATGTCCTGTCTATTATTATTTTATTATCACTCAGCTTTTGTTACCGGCTGCATTTAAGGGCATAAAATATTAAAATCTTAAAATGTATTTGGCAGAGTTACCGCGACTACCACGCAGATTTGTACCCAGATACGTCTGGCTCAGTGACGTACCTCAGTGCCCCGATGTGGCTCGATAACCAAGACCACCCAGTACCCAACATTTCTTTGCACCCAGACGCTAATAATGGTACACAGGTGAGTCACAATACAATACATGTTTTAGTTGCCGACTTAATAGTGTTTACACGGTGCGAGTGTCCTTTTACCCGTTAATCAATAATAAACTTGATACTTGCTTAACCTTTTGTCTGCTGGTATATGAGAAACGATAGAAAACACTCGTGGATCTGGGCTCCGCCATATTACGGGATAAAGGATACTTAGACAATCGCGCTGCGTAAACAACCATTAGTACAGGGTGTAATTAGAGCTACCACGCTTGAGTTTACTGGAATAAACTATATTCTCTCGTGTCTAAAACAATTTGACTATTTGTGTTAATGTTTAGTCAGCTGTTGGTCTCCACATTTTTGATTACAAGTCCATGTTTACGTTATTCAGTCAATACAAGTACGGTAGCTCTTGTGGAATGCGTGGACAATAATTTTATTCAAACTCTATTATCGAAATATTTTACATTACGCAAGTCCAAAATATTATTAGGTAGGCTTAGAATACTTGGCAACTTCGAGAGTCGAGCTGGGTCAAGACTTTACGTACTCAATGGTTCATACATTGGGATGGCATTCGGTACTTTTTAAAATTTTCTCGAGATGTTAATTTACTGATATTATGCTCATTGTATCAATTATATTTTTGATTTGCGTTATAAGTGGCTCTTTGGCACTTAGGTCCAAGTTCACCAAGAATAGTTTATAAAACGATTCCGGATTGTACCGTTTTATGGATAAAAATTGTTTATGCAAGCAAGGATTTTCTTGTTCTTGATCTTGTTGAACATTACGTTTATCGTAAGTAAACGTTAGCTGATTATTAAAGGTTGTTTACGTGTCGTTGAACTCGGGCCTTAGTACCTTAGTAAAAATTTATAATGAAAGTTATAGGGATAAGGCAGATCTAAGTATGTAGGTAATGTTTCAAAGTCTTCGCTTGTAATATTTTTGTGCATGAATATAGAAACATTTTTGTTATTTTTTTAAAGTTAATATAGTAATATAGATTCTAATCTCCATTAAAATATGAAACATGACATAAGGGACACCGTAAAATCAGTGTCGCATTTAATACGATTTATACAAATAGAAGTTATTTCACTAGAGCGCCTAGTGCAAGTTTGCTCAACGTCAAGGCTATGACGCGTTTATGACGTACCTACGGCCCTCTGATTGGCCTGCTGCAAATTAACCAACCAATGAGGGGGCTAAACGCGGTAACGTTTCGATTGCGTTATCATAAAGTAACCTCGCACTAAGCACGCTCTATAGACGGCCATGGTTGCGCAAATGGTCGTGTGACTATGGCGTCCCAAATAAAAAACTATGGCACCGAATAAGCATGATATATTTATGTGGGTATATGGCATTTTGGGAGACAAGGCAGGTGGGATATATTTCATCACTAGTGATTATGATTGATGTCGAATGAGTGTTTATTGATCTAAAATAAATCAATTAGGAATTTGATTAACAAAATAGAAAAGTTATTTTTTGTTTATTTTATCCTCCACTGCTCAGCAATAAATAACAGGTGTGCTTTTCACTTTAAACACATCTTAGTTTCGATCGGGTTTCACATCATAAGGTTTCTTATTAGTTATTGTAGAAATAAGAGGGAAGGAGGGAAATTAATATTGATTAGAAGGTGTGGAAATACAGTATGACAAAAAATAAACATTGATTTAAGGCCTAATTTTATAATAGTCAGATAAATGTTTTCTGAGGAATAAAATTATTGCTGTCACCATCTTAAGACTGATTTTTTAATGGTTAGATAAAAGTTATCTGGGGAATAATTATGACGCGACGGAATGTTTGTAATAGACAGTGACAACAAAAATTTTATTCCTCGGATAACATTCATCTGATGAAAAATCAGCCCTTATACAAACATGCTGACGCGACATTATCATAATTATTCCCCAGATCACTTTTATCTAACCATTGAAAAATCGGCTCTAAATCTAGTCTAGACTAGTTACGCTAGTTTAAAAAATTGTAATGTCAATTAGTAAAAAATATTTAAAAAAGCTTTTTAATATTTTTTTAGAAACAAAAAATACTTAGCCCTTAGCCCTTAGCCCCTACCCTTATTATTAGAACCTAATATTGAAACCTATAATAAGAAACAAATAGACCATAGTAATGGTCTATTTGTTTAGCTAATCAAACTAAAAGTTAACAATATTGACATGTGTTTTAACAAAAAGTTGTCAAATTTTTTTTATGAAAAAGAAAACGTACAGCATTGTAATGTAAATCGATGTTAGCTAATGAACTAAATTTAAATAATCCTTAAGTATTTTATACGACCTAAAGACATATCAAGCTGGCCTTACCTTAACCTTAAGTTAATCACCTAAATCGGAAGACCTTATTTTCTAGATATTTTTTCATATAAGTAGCCAATGAGTGGCTGAATGGCCAATTGGACATTTGACAACCATCCGCTTGTCAAATGTCCAATTGGACGAAAATGTAGTACTTATAGTGGGCTTGACGCGTATTGCCAAAGTAGGACCATAATTAATAAGTTTTAGTAGATGTAGCCTTAATTTCATTGTTGCATGTTACTGTTTTTGGTAATTGTTTTGCCTTTTTATTTTCATTTAGAATGGTTTTTTTGCGAGTTTCTTTTTGGTTTACATGGAACATTAACCCATGGTGTCTCTATATTTTTTGTGAATGAGTGGGAGCGTTTTTTTATTTGTTTTTATTTTGTATAAAAAGGTGAGTTATATACGCTTGTTATTCAGTGATATTTTGTTTTTTTCAGTTTTATTAGTTATTTTTGAGTGGTGCTTGTTTAATTTAATATTGCGGGCTAAAAGGGTAACGTAAGTACGGTTATTTTTTATTTTTATTATTCTAAAATAGTAATTACAAGTATTTGATTAGCCATTTTACTTTTAGATTCATCGTGGGAACTTAGAAGAGATGGTGAAGGCCATATTAGCAATGCCTCCACCGAAAAAGACCGATACAAAGAAAACGACACCGGCTCCAGTACAGAACGAAGAACCTGTAAAAACAGTAACAAAACCACCACCAGAGCCAAAAGACGAAGACCGAATTGACTTTGTTAATGTAAAAGACCTTATTAAGGGTATGGAAAGACAGAAATCTAACAAAGTAGACTATCAGAAAGAAACAAATGGTTTCCACAAGAAGATAACAGATAACGGTCACGATAATTTTCATGAGAAGAAAATTGATTCTGAATCAGAGAAGCCCGAACCAGACGTTATTCCGCAAAAGATTGAAGTGACCGAATACAATGATGAAAAGACCGAAAAGACCATGGAGAAAACTGATAGTACGGAGTCAACCGAGTCTTCTCTATCAAGGAGCAACAGTTTGATTAACGGGTTGCCCGTTCAGGTTCCAAAGCCGATGCCCAGATCCTCTATTTCGGAAGCAGGCTCCATGGAGGAGCATTCAGAGATCCCTAAACCAAAACCTAGGACCACAACAGTACCTGGGTCTGGTTACAAGGTACATGAGGTTTGTGGTTTGAAGTGTAGAATTGGTGTTTGTGTTTTTGTGCCAAATTTCAGTAAATAGTTTAGCTTGAGGACTTGAGGTTAAGAGATTTACTATGGCGTCCCATTTTTTACTTAGATCCTTGCTTTTATGGACGTGGAAGAGTTCTGTTTTGATATACTTAGTTAAAATAAATATATGGTTGAAATCGTCCAATGAGCCGCGAGTTCGATCCTTGCGTAGAGAAAAAACATATTTTTTGTTTATTATTTAACGCTACTTTTAAATTCTTGCCTCAGAGATCATGTTAAATAAATTATGCAAAGAATCTAGTGTTGATAGAATGACTGATAATTGGCTTGTTTCCTGGGTCAACAATAAATTATTTTAGCCTTCCAATACAATTAATCAATTTGAATATGAAGACACTTATTGTAGATTTTTTCTACCAAATTTTACACAGTTTTGTAAAAAGTTCCGATTTCAATTTAAATTCTACCTAAATTCATAGAAAGTATTATTTTATTACTTATTTAAAATAAAAAGTACTGAATTTGACTAGTTGGAAACTACCGATTTCTATTTTTGAATTTGAATGCTAACATATTATTCGAATGCTGCTGTGCCCTTTGACAGTTGCAATAGACACTTTCAGCATAGTAGAGTAGTGTGTTTGTGGTTCTTTTAGTACTTTCGTTTTTTTTTATTTATTTACTTTTTTGCACTCAGCTCGGAGTTTGGTTTGTTTTTATTATACTTTTTATTTATATTATATTTTTTTATTGAATGGTTTAATTACTTATTGCGTGTTTCATTTTTTTTTAATTTTATTGTAATATTTAAGTAAATTTAAACGTGTCTCCTTAATTATTAATTTTATTAATAGCCTCGTCTTGGACCGAAGCCGTTCTCAGCGGCTACTGGCAACGAAGATTTCTCATTTGATAAAGTCTTCTCAGTGCCAGCTGTTCCTGGACTTACAAAATCTGATTCAGGTTAGTTTTTCAAAAGTAATAAGGATCATTCGGATGTTCGTCACGTGTGTGCTGATATCCCCCTTTTCGGGAAAATAATACATATGTCATGTGCTTTATATTGTTATTAAGCTTATATTTATTAATAAAACAGCTCTTCTAAAAAAGCTAGTGTAACAGGAATGCGCTGTTTTATAATAAGTGTAATGATTTACTTGTTAAGACAATTGAATAGTTTGCTCGGCCAAAATGAAAATTTTTTCTACTAGTAAAAACATAAAATATAAAAAAATAATCATTATGTATGTGAAAATTAATAATTAATTTTATGACTTAATTCAAAAGCTATTTGTACTTACTTTGTATGTAGGTACTATTTGACGAAAAAAGATATGACGTCTTAACGTGCCACTTATTTCATGGGAAAATGTCGCTTTTGACATTTTGAATTAAAAGTACTGAATTTACAACGCATTCATTAAATTATGGATGTTGTCATAGACATAGCATAGCAAAGGGTTATCGTGTATATATTAATAACAATTTCGTAATTTCTTAGCATCGTCACCGGTATCTGGGCAAGCGACCACCCCGACCGCTTCATCGACACCCACTGCCAAAGATGGCAGCGAAGACAAGGACAAGTCGCTGTCGCCGACTAGCGATGTGGAAATCGCGCCTAACAAAGGTACCTATATAATACACACCTTTACATTATTTTTTATGTTGCCACACACTAGTATATTCTCCTGTGTCGTGAGTGCGTTTACAAACATACAATTTCACATAAACATCACACTCAGACCCGGAACAACAATTTGTGGATCACACAAAGAGTTGTTCGTTGCACGTTGCGCCGCCAGTTGCTCAGCCACCGCGCCAACCGTGCAGTCCATACATACATTTTTTTTATGTAATTTGTAGGCAAACGAGCAGACGGATTATCTGAAACGGAGGAGTTACGAGTGCGTTCCCGACCTGGGATTGAGGAGGGATTGGGGACGGGGAAGGATTAGGCCTCCGCTAACCTCACTCACACGGCGAAACACAACAGCAGAACACACAGCTGTGGTTGTTTCACGCCGGTCTTCTGTGAGGCCGTGGTATCATTCCGGTCGAGCCGACCCATTCGTGCCCAAGCATGGCTCTCCCACACTAAAAAATATATTTCATCTTTGAGAAATATAATGCCTAAAGCCTCGGCACAAATGGACTCGACCAGAGTAACAGCCTCACAGAAAACCCTCGTGAGAATATCGGAGACCCAATCCTTTTTCCTGCCCCCAGTCCCTCAATCACTAAAATCTCCGAAACCGTTATCTCCAAAAGGCCAATAAAGCACGCTATTTGTCCTATCGCATATAAAAAAAAAAACAAAATTGTTTTACTAACGAATATGATGAAAATGTACAATTCCCAACCAATTTTCATTTAATTAGGTTTCAATAATAAAGATGGATAGAGTTTGATGTTATGTTTGACTGGTGGACAATTTTAAACCTAGACGCATATCTTTTTCTTTTCTTCGGAGCTTTCTCCGATATCCTCACTCACACGGCCAAACACAACGTAAGTGTTGGCTCACGATCGTCTGGTGTCGAATCACTCGGGTCGAGCCGGCCCTTCCGTGCACAATCATGGCTCGTCCATGCTTTTAAAATATAACGTGAAATATTTTGTTTATTTACTTTTAACTTTTTTGTGAATAAATGTGTGTTTTACGTAAATTAATGTTTGTTTTTTTTTTCTTAGTTTATGAACTTAAAAGTGAGAACTCCTTTGCGACGTTCATTTCAAATGTTGTTTCATTTTAAAACTTTTCTGATATTTATAAATTGCTGTTTTTATAGAGGAATATACGAACGGCAAATCGGACACGAGTTTAGAAGAAGAAGTCAATTCTTCTGATTCCGGCTACCGCCCGAAGACCCCAAGCACAGCGGAGCGAAGGAAAATGTTTGAAAATACCGAGTAAGTATTTTTACACTCAGTCAAGTAAGAATACCAAATACTAAATGTATAACTGATTTAATTTGATAGAAACATGGGTATTTTTTTTATGTAATATGGCGGCAAACGAGCAGACGAATTACCTGATGGTAAGCAATCAGCGCCGCCCATTGACACTCGCAACGGAGGAGTTCGAGTGCTTTGCCGACCTTTTAGGGATTAGGTTAGGAAACACAACGCTGTGGTTGTTTTACGCCGGTTTTCTGTGAGGCCGTGGTATCACTCCGGTCGAGCCGACCCATTCATGCCGAATTATGGCAATTGGTGGTGTTAAAATATAGGAGACCAATTATTGCTACACAGAGAAAGCGACTTTGTTTTATACTATATAGTGATTATATTTCCGTAGCGGTGCCCAGTCAATAGCTGATCGGCGTCGTGCGTACGAGTCCAGGTCTGTTAGTGTCGCCGTCGAGTCCGATACACCGCCATCGCCCGCTCCTCTTAGGTAAGTGACAAAAAAGTATAAAGTTAGGCCTTTTATATTCTCCTTGGCAAAGGAAGACGTGTAACTACGAGTATAAATTATAGTGCAATCATCATCAGCTTATAAGTGCCCACTACTGAGCAAAGGCCTCTTCTCACACGGAGAAGGCTTAGGGAGTGATGTGTCATTATGGCTCAGATTATAAGGCCCTAAACCTCTGGGCCACCACGACACTTGTTTATGTGCAATATTTAAAAAAATATATATTACCATTCATCATTTAGTACCTGGATCACGGAGTTAAGTTCGCAATTTTTTGTCGGATTTTTTCTGAAAATGAGACTTGCACCCGGTTTCCGAAAGGCCGATCAATGTTAAAATCAATTTAATCTCTTGTCGAATTAGTTGACTGAATTATCAACAACCAATCAGATGACTTGACAAGAGATTTAACAGGAGATTAGTTAATTTTAGCGTTGACAAGCCTTTCAGAAACCGGGTGTTAGCTTTTTCGTCTTCACAAAATTTCATCGAAATCGTTAGAACTTTTTCCGAGATTTGAACAAGAGTTCCGAGATAATGTATGAGAACTTTGTAATAATCACTATCGGAATCATGTAATAAGGCGGAACATGTAGCTATATACGGGTTCAAACCTCGTTCTATAAGTACTAAGAAACTTGGAAACCCGATAAAGCCCCAGTAATAATTTGCCTAACCCCAATATAGAATTCTGCTCAATATTAATAATAACTCGTTTTAGACGTCGAGATTCCCTGAAGTCCCGTAAAAGTCCGGATCGCGAAGACAAGAGGGCTTCGGTACCCAATGTCACCACAAAGAGGACCTCCACCGTATTTGGTAAGTAAATAAATTGAATAAAATAACAAAATCATGCTAACATGGTTTTTATGTAACACAGCGGCAATAGAGCCGATCTTTTGTCTGATGGTAAGCAATCAATGTCATCCATGGAGGGTGTCCACGTGAGTACTTGCAACTCTAGAGGAGTTGGGAATAAGGAGTTTTAGGGAAAGGATTGGGTCTCCGATAAACTCACTCGATGAAACACAACTCTGTGATTGTTTCACGTCAGTGTTCTCAGCCGGGCTTGCGGGGTAAGCGCAATGAGGCACCGCGACCTTGACCTAGAGCAGGAGAAGGAACGGGGTCGTTTTTAGTCAGTAAGAACTCTGACACTCCCTTCAGAGAAGCCATTTGATGATTTTCCCTTACAAAAAAAAAACAGTGTTCTGTGAGGCCGTGGTATCACTCGCCGGTAGGGCTGACCCCATACGTCTAGAAGCATGGCTCACCCAAACTGAAATTTCAGAATTTGCCTATTTTAAGAGTTGCTTTTAATCACTTCCTAACACTTTGCTAAATAATTGAAGTGATTTGTTTGTTCAACAGGGAAGGTATCGAAGTTCCGTCACTTGAAGGGAACTCCAGGCCACAAGTCTACTCAGTTGGAGAATATTAAGAATATTAGCAGACAGATATCCGGGGAATGCAACGGTTTCTATGGTGAGAATCTAAAATGAGTATTTATTTGGTATGTATTTAAGTGTTTGATTCTGAAAATAAGTTGTTATACACATAATGTCAAAATGGTGTTTACATGGTGTTTTATCAAGCAAATTATAGGTTCAGTTTATTTGTTTAAAATTTAATATGTAAAGTTAATGCAAAAGTAGTTATTAAAAGTTAAGTTTGTTAAAAATATAACACATCACAAATTATTTGACTTTATGTTTAATTTTAGATTTTTCTATACTAATATTATAAAGAGGTAAAATTTGTAAGTTTGTATGTAGGGGGTAGTCTTTGAAACCGCTGCTCGTATTGAAAAAAATCTTTCACTGATAGATAGCTACAATGTTTCTGAGTGCTATAGGCTATAAAAGATCACGCTACGATCAAATGGAGCTGAGCAGCGGGTGAAACCGCGTGAGAATAGCTAGTAGTAAATAAAACAAAAATATTACGACGTCTTTTTTAATGTAAGTAAGTAAGTAAGTAATCTTTATTGTGTAATTTAATTTAATGTAAGAGACATAGGTACTATTTCGTTTTAGACATTTTTTTTACGTTGTTGTCGTTGTAGGAAATTACCAAATTAGAGTAGTATAGAGATACTACTATTTGGTAGTTTCCTAGGTTCGTAAGTGGTGTGTATATGACGTCGTCGGTCCGTGTTGCAGCGAACGGGTACCGTTGCGCCGTCCCGCTGGGCGGCGGCGGCGGCCGCGTCGGCGTGTTGGAGCTGCCGGCGGGCGCCACGGCGGCCGCGCGGGCCCCGCGAGCCGCGCCCGGCGCCGCGCGCGTCTCCGCGCTGCTGCACCCCGCGCCGCTGCAGGACTGGGCCTGGGACCCCTTCCGCCCCACCAGGCTGCTCGTCGCATGCGACGACGGACTCGTCCGCGAGTGGATCATACCCGAACAAGGTAACTCTCTCTCCCTATTGCCTTTTTTATGACATAGGTCGACTAATGTGCCGACGAATGATAAGCAATCGACACCGCCCGTGGACACTCGTAAAACCAAAAGAGTTAGTACAAATGCGTTGCCAGTCCCTTATGGGTTATTAGGGATTTAAGGATTGGGGATTTAAGGATGGATTATTGTGCTACTGATAAACTTCTCGACGAAACGCAGCATAAGTGTCGGTTATCCAATCTAAGATCTAGATATATTAGGATGATAACAGACATATCCAATACATCATTTGACTTTAAAATTTTTTCTTTAAAATTTTCTCTTTCTTTTGATACTGTTTATTACCTTAATTGAATTTTTTATCACTTGACTATTTTCAAAATTTTGATGGTCGATTAGAATGGTTCTCAAATGTTTATGTTCAACATATAATTTCTACACTCCAGGGCTACAAGAATCAACGAACGAGCCGGCTCGAACGTTCTCAGCGCACCCGGACAAGATCTACATAATCCGGTTCCACCCGACCGCCTCAGACTTACTGACGACCGCAGCTCATGACTTGAGTGTCAAGATCTGGGACTTGAACCCGGAGACTCCTGTAGCAGCCATTATTCTAACTGGCCACACTGATCAGATATTCGCATTGGACTGGTCGCCTTGTGGGGAATATCTCGCTACAGTATGCAAAGATGGACTTATAAGGGTAAGCTTTTTCTTTTCGTTTACTACCTTCCGTTCGCGTAGTATGTTGATAAAAACCAATCTTATGTTGTATGTTGATAAAAATCTAGGGTAACACCTATCTACATACCTAATTTGAACCAAATCGGTCCCGCCGTTTTTGAGTGAAAGAATAACAAACCTACATCAATACATTCTCACATACTTTTACATTTATAATACTTACTAGCATCAATGCCAGCAGGCTAGAACATTTAATATTGTATAAAGTTTGAACATTTTAGGTGTATACTGTGAATATTTCCTATTTACTAGGATAGAAGATCACTAAAACAATATCTTTATAGCTACATTTATTTTCCTTATTAAGTCCTCTGATTGGTTGGTATTAGAGCGCCCAACGTCATAAAAAAACTTCTAGTGGGCAATCAGCTAGCTGATAAATCAGTTACAATTAAATTATTTCAATGAAAATACTTTAAAATAATCATACATTTTTACTCGTTAATTTTACGATATAATTACTTCTCTTGCGAAAGTTACAATGTTTGGATGTTTGTTACTCAATCATGCCAAAACGGCTGGACGCATCTGGATGAAATTTGGCAGGACATAGGCTTATTTTTATCAACATACGACGCGGGCGAAGCCGCAAGCTAGTTTAGATATAATTTGTATTTAACGTAAACAAATTATGAAGTCTCAAAACAAATCCAAAATGTAAGGCTAAGTTCGTTTTTTAAATTTCTGAAAAAGTACCGGGTAAGTTCGGGTTACTTTGACCCTGCGGGGTAACTTTGATCCAAACCCTTTAACCAATAATAACTGAGAACATATATTCGTTTTTCATTGGTTCGAAAATTTGGATCAAAGTTACCTCCCAGGGTCAAAGTAACCCGAACTTACGGTATTGAATTTGACTGGCTGGAATGTACTCTATGTATACGTATAGACATGCTTAAAATTATTGTATATATCCGTCAGGTATACAAGCCCCGGTCGTCGACGGAGCCTATAGCGAGCGGGCCGGGGCCGGCCGGCAGTCGCGGGGCGCGCATAGTGTGGGCCCTCAACGGAACACATCTCGTCGTCACCGGGTTTGACAAGTAAGTTTGTAGTTGGTAAAGTGTGACAGAGCCAAGCTTCGGCACGAATGGCTCGCCCGGAGTGATAACACGGCCTCACAGAAAACCGGCGTGAAACAACCACAGCGTTGTGTTTCGCTGTGTGAGTGAGGTAACCGGAGGCCCAATCCTTCCCCTCCCCCAATCCCCAAATCTTCAAATCTCTAATCCCTCAAAGGTCAGCAACGCACTCGTAACTCCTCCGTTGCGGGTGTCCGTGGGCGGCGCTGATTGCTTACCATCAGGTAATTCGTCTCCTCGTTTGCCGACCTATTACATAATAATAATATTAATTCTTCAAATAGGGGCGCTTTATGACCTATATATTTAAATATAGAACATAATTTGTATGAACTATTTGGCACATACATTTATCCGATATTTATTTAATGTGAGTGAAACACATTGTATATATATAAAAATCTAGTGCAAATTTTTTTTTTAAATAACCCTTATATTTGACAGAGTATCAGAGCGTCAGATCCTGCTATACAAGGTTAGCGACCTGTCTGCGCCCGTGTGCACGGTGGGCCTGGATGTATCCCCCGCCATACTGCAGATACATATCGACCACGATTCCGGAACTCTGTTCCTTACAGGACGGGTGAGTAAACCCTATTTAATAGTTACGAATCTCAATAAACGATCTTTCCGTTGATTCTGAAGGAAAAAATACATTTCTCTCTAGGATTTTTGTAACAGCAATTCTTACATTCAGACACCCGGTTTCTGAAAGTCTAAAATTAACGAATCTCCTGTTAAATCTCTTGTCAAGTCATCTGATTGGTGGTTGATAATTTAGTCAACCAATCAGATGACTTGACAAGAGATTAAATTGATTTTAACATTGATCGGCCTTTCGGAAACCGTGTGAGAGTCTATTTCTGGATGTTGTAACAAAATCGATTTAGTCGTTTTACGTGAAAGAGTAAAGAATAACGTACATCCATCCATAATTAGCAGTTTTCGCGTTTATAATGTTAGTAGTATAGCTTAATCAACTGAAAGGGTTATTGAAATCGGCTGTTAATTAAGAAAGTACAGTGCGGCCGACGTATTTTGGCCGACGAGTCTGAAGTTAGCCATTTGTCTGCGCAATGGATTTTTCAGGAACAAAATTGTATACTGCGCATCTAATCAGCTAACTTCAGACTCGCCAAGATACGTCGGCCGCACCATAAAGTGACATTAATTGTTATTTGATAAAAACTACTTATTTTATTAACGTTTTTCCAAATATTTCAATATATCTATCAGGTTTTTAAAAACCTCTGATACAATGTTAATGTTTGATCTTTTCAGTCAAATTGTGGATTTCTTCTACATAATATATAATTTTCTGCCCTTTTGTGTCTTGTAAAAATACCTTAAGTGGAGAAATTCAGTATCAGCATTGCATTCCTGTAAAGCTGGGTCGCGGGTCGCTAGTTTTAGGTTAAAAATTTACGACGATAAATATTTCATTCAGAGTACAAGAATGTTGCAATAATAATACATTTGTCATTAAATACAGGGTGATTCAACGATCTACTGTTACGAGGTAACTAGCGAGGCTCCCCACTTATGCGCGTTGTCACATCACCGCTCGCCCACACTGCACCAAGGCATCGCCTTCTTGCAGAAGAATCTAGTCGCTGTTGAAAAGGTAAGACTCTTTTAAGAAACATTCATTTGAATGTTGATTATTAACGTAGATTATTATGAACTATTTTTCATAGATCAAACATACGAGTTTAGTGTTTAGATAAATACAGTGAAATAAAGTGTACTTGTTATGTTTCCGATGTAATAACATTATTTAGTTAACGTTATTTGTAGAAATAATTTTATGAAATGCCAATGACGCTACCAAAGACGCAGTTCCTAACCTTTCCGTTTTGTTTATTTTAGGTGGAGTTTGCAAGAGCACTACGACTGACTAATGGAAATGTCGAGCCGCTGTCTTTTACTGTACCCAGAATAAAGGCAAGTATTCATTAACCGTGTTTTCAATCAAATTCGTCTCATATAATAAAACGGTAAAGAAGTGTGCCTGACCACAAATATGTGTCAAAAAGGAAAGAGTAAAAAATAAGTTTGAAAATAAAGGATTTATAATAAAGGACTACGGTAAACGAGCTTTGTTTGTTTAATATGTTTAATCAACTATTATAGAGTCAGCCGGGGTAATAAGGGCCCACCGCGGAGTAGGAGAAGTCTGACATTCCCTTCTGACCTTCTGATGATTTTGATCTCTTAAAAAACGAATTAATTAATTAAAGCAAAGTTTAAATTTATTTATCATTGATACCTGAAATTTTCTTTTGTACTTAACACATTCAGGCCACCTACTCGCTCACAGAGTCCATGTAAATTTTATTCCAGTGCCGTGGAGTCTTGGTGGTATCTTGTACGAGAAATGTAGGCTGCATCCGAAATGTCGTTTTGAAAATCGTATTGGTAAGAAAGTGTTAATAAGTTATGTGTTGTTGCAGAGCGAGTTATTCCAAGACGACCTGTTCCCCCCGACGTTGGTGACGTGGGAGCCGTGGCAGGACGGTCGGGGCTGGCTCAACGGGGACATCGTCGCCCCGCGCATTGTCAGCCTGCAGCCGCCGGGGATGGAGCCATGTTAGTTACACATACTATTATATTGATATAGTTTGACTAGCTGGCCAACTGGCTGCTGCGCAACGTCTCGCGGGTTCCATTCCCGCACTTGACTACTCTTTGTGTGATCCATAAATTGTTGTTCCGGGTCTGGGTCTGATATGTATGTGAAATTGTATGTTTGTAAATGCATCCAAGACACAAGAGAATATGTAACTCCTAAGGCATCGTGGCCTCGGCCTAGAGCAGGAGAAGGAACGGGGGTGTTTTAGTTAGTAAGAGTCTGAAAATCCCTGTTTTCATTCGAAACTAGTTGAGCATAATCATAATTTATTTTAATTTTTAATATATAATTTACGATAGCAAGCTTTAAGGAAAAATAATGAATGATAATAATTATCTGAATGTTCTATTAGTATCGGCACATACCGCGGCATCGCCTGTATCCCGCGAGGCCCGCGACAAACCTGCCGCCGCCGCCAAGCCCAAGCCGGACCTCATCAAGTCGCATGTACCGCAAGATACCAAGGCTAAGGAGGACAGCGTAAGTTAACTTTTTATGAGAGAGCAAGCAGATGAATTATCTGATGGTAAGCAATCGGCGCCGCCCATTGTCACCTGCAACACCAAAGGAAGAACGAGTGTGTTGTCGGCTTTTTGAAGATCAGGGATTCGGATATTTAAGAAATGGGGAGGGGAAGGATTGGGTCTCCGGTAACCTCAATCGTACAGCAAAACATAATGCTGTGTTTGTTTCACGCCGGTTTTCTTCGAGGCCGTGGTATCACTCCGGTCAAGCCAACCCATTCGTGCCTGCTTAGGCACGGCTGGCAATGGCTCTCCCATACTTAAACTTTCTTACTTTACAATTATGAATACAAACCACTGAAGGCCTTATCCGCACTCTATTCCCAATACTCGAACGCTCAATTCCCATATCCCCAATACAAAGAAATGCACATTCAACTGTTCTGTCCATGAGTGGCTCTGATTGCTTACAGTAATATGATCATATATATAACATAGACAGATTTTACATTTTATCCTCCAAACAGAATATATCATCCGAAACCCTAATTTACTAATGGCGATGGCGCCGATTGTTTAACTTCAGGTAAACCGGGTTCGTTTGCTGCTCTTTCACTCACAAAAAAACTTACCTTAATCTGACTAACACCTGGTTTCTGAAAGGCTTGTAAACACTAAAATTAACTAATCTCCTGTTAAATCTCTTGTCAAGTCATCTGATTGGTTGTTGATAATTCAGTCAACCAATCAGATGACTTGACAAGAGATTAAATTGATTTTAACATTGATCGGCCTTTCGGATACCGGATGTGAATCTATCTCAGGATATTGTGAGATTAATTGGAAGACGCCGCTTCTAGTAACAAATAAAATCTGGTTTGATTTTGATAGTATTGTAAATACATAAAATATAATCTTTCTTTCTCAGATAATGAAATCCATTAGCGCCAAAGTGCAGATGAATTTGAAATTGGAACAAGATAGTATGGAAGGCGTAGACGAATCCGAATGGGATCAGTGAAAGGTAACCCGACTAAATCAAAGTGCAATTGAACAACTCTAGCTTGTAGTGTTATTTAGAGGCTCCCGAAATCGGTCGCGTTATATGTACATCGACTGATCGCCCGTAGACTGATTTTGGCGGTACGAATATAGATATTTGCTTGAAAACTAACTTCGTACTGAATTTCGAGATTATTTTCTGAATTTCTAATGTTTTGTTCTATAAATACCGTTTCAATATTGGTTTGTATGCATAGAATATATTAAAAGAACAAAGGGTGATCTATTAAAATATTCTTGTTTAGTTTTGACTTCGAAAAAGCAGGACAGGTTACGCACAAGATTATATTTTAAAAAAAGTAGGCTAGTAACATTTGAATTCTATACCAACACAGTTATTAATTTTATATAATCGAAGATTTTGACCGATAGAAGAATGGAGTCTTTCTATCTCTATACGTACCGCCAAATTGATAATAAAAAATAAAAATAGCACCCCTCGCAAACAAAAAATAACTTTTTATACCTATCAATAAACTTGGGATTTCAAAATATTTTATAGAAATTTTTCCAGTGGATCCCATTTTTTACATTTTAATCTTAGATATCAAATAGTCGTGGTAATGTAGAGTATGTTATACGTCGGCGCATAAGTCCAATAATATGTACTGATTATAGTTATAAGTCCACCGTCAAAGTATACATTGGGATTTGCAAATGGGAGATAGGGATGAGAGAGAAATGAAAAAAGGGTAAAATTTACTAAGGGAACGTAAAAAAAAAAACGAAAGTTGTTGCACATTGTATTTAAGCTTAACTAGGCATCTCAGGTTTGAAATTGATCAATGAATTTACAATGAATTTTATAACTATAAATCTCCCTACAAGATATCTCCCATTAGCAAATACAAATGCTAATATAAAATATATCAAGTTACTGCTCACGGCCAGTCACATTTTCATCGCGGCACTGCTAATAAATTATTTGCTAAAATGCTAACTCGTGATCTCATTGATATTCGACCAAAACTCAACCAACCATGCTCATAGAATGCTCACATTACGCGTTTATTATTGACCCATAATTTGTTCTAATAATTACTACCAAAATGCTCAAAATTCCATTTCAAATCGATATATTTACTAATCGATTACAAACTCGATCATCGCATAAAATTTTTGTTAAACAAATAGGTCAGCGCAACATTCCTACATATTGCCATAAAAAGCATTTATTTATATTGCGTATTTACTTTATGTATGTAATAACAAAAAATATTGATTATACGTATGATTTGTATGTAATACTTGTATGTAAGGATGTGTAGGGTATTCATACTTATTAGGGAATTGACATATATGATGTATCCGATATTCTATAGTCACCATAATATTGATAAAAGTATCACTGGCTTGTGATCATTGGAAATCTACGGCCAACTAGCAGGTGAAACAACGCTGTGGTTGTTTCCCGCCGGTTTTCTTTAAGGCCTTGGTATCACTAATTATTGTAATGAAAACTAACATTACAAGACTGACGGATCATGAAATAAAACATATTCGTTGATATCTAAATCTAAAAGGAAATAATAGATTTGCAATGATCACTAAGGTCGTTTGGAAATACAATGAAGATGGAATATGTGGATTAATCAGCCATCTATTTTTAATAGATTAAAATTCTCGATTTGTAAAACTATTTCTTGCACTTGAATACTATTTTTCTTTATACCGTTTTATGTCTTCTTATCTTCAGTAATGTAGCTAATCTAAAATCCATCTTCATTGAATTTCCTACTTAGTCTTTGTATATGAAAAAAAATCTGTAACTATAGTGAAAGCGCGACTTAGTACCGCTAGTTGATGCCATAAACACATCACTTTTTGCTCAAAACGCCAAAGACTATGTTTTTCTTGTCAATATGTTGAAATTGTATTAGTTTATATTTTTATTTTGAAAACTTATATTGAGATGTGAAAGTAACTAATGCAGCGATGTTCATCGTCTGTCGAAAATATTTATTTAAAATCAAAACGAGACAGTAGAAGTTACTCGACTGTCTCAACCCTATTTTCTCTACTATTGCGAAAAAGTTGCAATTGACAGAAATATCTAGATAGCTAGATTTTGTACCTAGTATTAAAATGGAATCTCATTTTTAAATTATGTATTTCATATTCCCATTCAAAATAAAATTTTAAAGTCATGAAATTAAAAGTTAAAGCGCATCAATAGGCCTACAAGAGCGAGTATGACGTATGTATTGTCCTCTCACTTACGTCCCACGGAGTTAGAGCGAGACAAAAGTCAGGGATGTCATACTCAAGCTTTCGTATTTTACTTAAATATTTACGAATAGGTGTAATTTTTATTCACTAGTCAAAAATATATACTTTAAATGGGAAGATTCTTAAAAATATATTCAAAATGTATTACTTTATGATTAATTTATGATTAAGATTTCTATGTATATTTTTAGTTTAGATTGTGAGCGGTTTGTTGTCGGTGGGATTGTAAACATATATTTTACCAATGCAATGAAATGTGGAGCTAATACAATTAATTTATTAACAGTTAATGAATAAAGATAACAAACCAATCAAAAACCGACCTTATGTCGTACAGAAAATGAAATAAAATATCACCGACACCAAACGTACGCTTCATACTACTGCACACTATATTCATATCAAAATAAAGAAATCACCACAATATATCGTTTGTTAGTAATAACGCACCTTTGGTAACAAGTATATTTGAAACAATATTTAAAAGCAAGAGATAAAATACATTTTATAAAGGGACGTGGTCTCGGTAACAGCGGGCACATAAGCTGAGCGGATTTTATAAGACTGGTTTTCTACCATGATTTATTTTATATTATAATTATAACTAGGATCAGCTTTGCAAGGGTGCTACGCTGATATTAAATTTCTCCACCATTTGATGGATGTTTTTATACATATAAACCTTCCTTCAATCACTATCTATTAAAAATCCGCATCAAAACCCGTTGTGTCGTTTTAAAGATACATGTACTAGTACATATCTACATGGATATAGATAGGACAGAGGAAGCGACTTTGTTTTATACTAAGTAGTGATGATTGTTGAGAGACTAATTCACTTATCGACGAAATTACTCGACTTGTTTCAAGTCGCTCCAGTGGCCGATAATCATGAACAGTTGAGGTTGACGTTTTGCAGTCTTGATGGTTAATTTTGTTCACAAAATCCATTAGTTTTTTATAATATTGGACAATATTAATATATCAACGTAGAATATGTCAGGATTTTTCCATACTTACATAAAGCATTTAATAAGACAAGCCAACCAGTGTCAAATTGTTATCAAAATCGTGCTCGCTGATATACGGACCACACCCTGTCTTTCCATCATATTAAATTCATTCTCATTGTTTGTGAGGTTTAAATGAAAAGTAAAATGTATTTGACGGTTTCTTATTATCCAAGTTTTTGTGTACGTTACTCTGCGATAATGATTGGTTATCTAAGATTAAATATTTGTTAAAACTTTACACTTGAAGTTGTTACCTATCAAAATAGTGAATAAGGGTTTAATTTAACAATAAACGCTCAAGACAAAATATTAAGGATAATATTTACGTAAATACAAGTCTTATGGTTTGTCTAAGAGCTAGGCATACCTAATTTTTATTAAACTTATTTTTGTAGTACCGTAATATTAAAAGAGTGCCTAAAAACTTGTACTTTACGAAATCGTCAAATATTTTACGCACAAAGTGTTACCCGCATTAATTTGCTCTCTATAAATCCCTTACCAAAGTTGTGAAATGACAATAAATTGATTTTGTAACTTAAACCTTCCTCGTCGAACCTTCAAATAGTTTCGTCCAAAACGCTAATGTATTTATGTATGTAATACGTAAAATTGCTACAAAATTGGGAATCTAGTGCCAATATTTCTTTTTTTGTTTCATTATTATGAAATCGGCGTTAGATGTATTGAATCTTTTCCCTAATCCTTTTTCGATAACATCGACAGAGAAACGTATGAAGTGAACTTTTTTCTGGCAGATGGCATTGAAGAATTGGCGCTAAAACATCTGTCAATTTTATCGAAGAAGGTTACATGTAATGTAAAATAATGATCACAGACGATACCCTCATTGTGTGAGTGCGTGTAATTTTTGTATTTTTGGATGTTGTAACCCTACAGATAGCGTTAAGGCTCAATATTTGGAGATATTTTTATTATTTTGCATTTTTTTATTAAACTCTTGCTAAATTTTTGAGTGTTTTATTTTGAAACTTTTTGCTTTCAAATCGGTTGTGTGTTTTTTTATAAAAAACACATCAATTAATGTTCATTACATTTGTCACGTAAAGTCCCATGGTAACCTATTAATACACGACCTTTATCAATTAATTCGTACTCCAACACTGTCAGCTATGACAAACAACACGCAATTTAGTTCCGGGAATCGAATCGTACATACGTGTTTCCCATAAGCACTTAATACTCGTAGTAAATGGATTTAATTAATTTGGAGTTTGATGTTGTGAATGCTATAAAAAGCAAGATGTGACTATCAATTTATAGAAGTACATGTCAACCAATGGACAATTTTAAATTGAAAAGCCTACATAACATCTGCACATCGGGTAGGTACGAGACGTTCATTGCTGTGTGGTGGCCGAGCAAGGGGTTTGATATATGGTCGGTAAAAATTTCTAAGTGTTAGCACGGAGTCTGACATGGAACTGGAGCTGATATATTGCAATAGGCCTGCATAGGATTGCATTATTTTTGTGTACACCTCTGCCTACCAGTTTCAGAACAAAAGATTTTTTTTTTATGTAATAAGTCTGCAAACGAGCAGACGGATTACCTGATGGTAAGCAATCAAGGTCGCCCATTGACACTCGCAACGGAGGAGGTACGAGTGCGTTGCCGACCTTTTAGGGATTAGGGATTTGGAGATTTAGGGATTGGGGAAGGGTCCGGGAAGGGGAAGGATTGGGCCTCCGGTAACCTCACTCACACGGCGAAACACAACGCTGTGGTTGTTTCACGACGGTTTTCTGTGAGGCCGTGGTATCAGCATGGCTCTCCCACACTTCTCGTAAATTGTGTATGAAAGGATATGAACAAGCGAGAAAGATACCGAACTCTGTCTTTCGGCTGTCTCTCAGGCTGAGAGAGTTCGGGAGCTTCTTTTGAAGAGGTTGGGAGAATCATCCTGATCATGACTACATATATGTATATACATGTGGTGTATATGTGTTAATATATCAAGTAGTATGCTATATATGTTTATCTTTATATAGGTTTACGGTATAGTCACAATAGGTAGGTACGTAAAACTAGTTTGGTTCCTGCATCTACCACTGGATTGTCTCCGCATCACCCGAAGGTAGACGAGAAGAGAATGCTCATTGCATGATGTACAATTTTGGTTGTGTATAAAGTTTTAATAAAATACCAAAATAAAATTTAGTATTGTTTAACACATTCAGTGCCACTGACTCGCCCACAGAGTCCATGTAAATTTTATTCCAGCGTCGTGGACTCGCCCGGCAAGTTCGACGTAAAATGTAGGCGGCATCCGAGATATCATTGTGAAAATCGTAGTGGTAATGAAATTGTTAATATTATTATAGCGTCAGTCAGGAGGTTAAGGGTGTTTTAAATGCTCCGGTGTATCGAAGTTTCCGAGTCACGCTACAAGTATCTTGGGGGACATGAAAATGTATTGTCAACCCATGTCGTGCGGCGACGATTGATGAGCCGCTGTTAATCCCAGAGGTGGGAGGTCACGACCAATCAGTCCAGCCTTGTCACTCACTCCGATGAACATGTGTTTACAGTATAGGGATGTAGTACGAGTTAATAGATAACTATGTATTGTACCTACTTACGTATTTTGGTTTCATTCTTATTTGACGTTAAAAGGTAGGTACGTTTAGGCACGCAACAACATTATCTCCGACAACATTAAATTGGAGACTCGGTTGCCATTAAAGAAGAAAAATAAAAACATTATCTCCTTAATTAAAATATGGCAACGCACATAAAAAATCAACAAGCAAAAATAAATGATGACAGAAATCCCACGCGTAGATTACCATGCTTAGAAAATCCTAGTTTTGGTTGGACCTTAGTCAGGGTATTGCCAGGGTTGCGGGGTGCAATAAGGTACCGCGACCTTGGCCTGGAACAGGAGATGGAATGAGGGGTATTCTCAACATGAGATTGTGCTTAGTCACATTGTTCGACTCTGTTGTCTGTTCTATGGCAAAGTGCACTTATTTATTTTAAACCTCCTCCTTTTATGCGTCTTTATGGGATAGGCCAGCAAACATGCTGACGCATCACCTGATGGTAAGCAATCATTGTTCATGGAAACCCGAAACATTAAATGAGTTACCGGATAATATTGTGGGTTTTTAGGGATTTGCTGATTGGGAAGCGGGCTTCATCATCATCATCATCTTCCTGCCCTTGTCCCGTTTTATTTGGGGTCGGCGCAATATGTTTTTTTTTCCATTCTGTCCTGTCACCCGCCACGCTATCACTAACTCCTCTGTCTTCCATATCACTTCTCACACAATCCATCCATTTTTTTTTTGGTCTCCCTCTCCATCCATCCGCATGTATACTCATGGAAGCGGGCCTAAGAAAGGAAATAAGTAATTTGAAAAGCCGCATTAAATATCATTATATACATAGAGTACCTATGTATATAGATACTAATTTAAAATAATGTCTCTGTCTAACAAGATGTCGAGCATAGTCGACCAGAAAACGTCACATCAATAACCGATCATAGATAGCGGTCAAAGGGTTAAGTAGATATTATAATAGAAATACATAAATGTTATTCACGAAAGAATCTTTAGTAACTTTTACGATCCGCTCAAAGATATCGTGAAAAGTCACTTCCCAGCGACAAACTTGACTGGTAACTTATCTTAAGGATTTGAAAAAACGGCTCGTAAAAAGGTTTTCAAAGTGCTGTTAGTTGATAGATGCTAGTAATCTGTTGGGCAGGCTTCGAGTGCTTGTTGATCGGGACACAATTTTTCAGCCTTATTCAAGTTATCTTTAAGGTTTTCCTGCGGTCGCTTAGCGGTGACTAAGGGATTTGGTGATCGCTTTATAAAAAAATATTGAGTAGGTAGATACTAGTGTTGGCGTCTTGCAGATTAAAATAATGGTATTTTATGTACAACAATGTATTTTGTAAGTAGGTATTATTTTGATTATTAGTAGTATTGATTATTAGTATAATAATTAAGTAGTTTCTAGTACTTAGTAAAACACGCGTTCGTTCTTGAAGCGCTTTATTTTATGACGGCCATGCCTATCTTAATACTTACATTGCAATAAGAAAATTATGTTTAGCATTATTGTACCTAACCAAAACTAAACATAAGTTTTAAAAGCTGTCCACAGACTATTTGGGAGTCAAATTTCAATAACATTTTATGGGATTATTTCTTGCTCTCACGTAAGGATTAGGTACTGATGTTTCTATGACCTCTTCAACATTCCAATACATACGCAAAAAACATCAGTGATGTCACAGCAGTCAAAATTTGAGGGGAACAAACGTCATTAATTTCGAGCCTCCTCCCCGGGACAGATATTGCCTCCTTTAGTATCCAAGTTATTTAATCTAAGTAACGTACGCCGTAACTTTTGGGCCCAACTTATTTGTACGTGTACGTGCGCAACCTCACATGGACCAGGTAAAGGTTTTGTTGATCGCCAAAAGTAAGATGGCGGATGTCTTTAGTCTTTAGTATAATATATCGAACCTGCTTGCGATATTAGACGTGGTATGCAACAAAAATAAAATGGCGAACGCTGCGACATCAATTTTAATATTAGTTAAGTGCAAAAATTATAATAAACCTTAAAGGCACGGTTTAACTTAGTAAGTCTTTCGTAAAATAAGTGAAATTTTAGATACATACGCAGCAAAGAGTAAAATTGTAAGCTAGCCAACAGTGTAATCGTTATCTGCCTAAAATGAACAAGTCCAAGAGCCTCTGCTTACATGGCGATGCTTCATAAAGCTGTGATGTGCGATGAAAAATGCAAAAATCTTGGATCTGGGTCGCACATCAAAGGTTCTTAAATGGCCTACCAGAGGGCATGGCAGCGGTCGGGCCAAAAGAAATGCGGTTTACTTGAGTTACTTATTTATATCTATCTCCATTTCTAAGTTGAACAAACAGAACTTAGTTTACTAGGTATTTCTAGAGTAGGTACTCGTATGTAGGTATATACTGGTATAAAGGCAGTGTAGTAGACATCGAAGGACTAAATAATATTGGAAGTTTAGCTTACTTGTTTTGTCTAGCATTTTTATCAAAAGGCATTGGTCTCTCGTTAAAAATCGTTTGATTTTCTTATATCTAGGTACCTATGTCGGGTTTGAAATCATCATCAGCCTATAAGAGCCCACTGCTGAGCAAAGGCCTCTTCTCATACGGAGAAGGTTAGAGCATTAATCACCACGTTTGCTCAATGCGGATTGGTGATTTCAAACTTATAATTAGAAATTATAAGTCCAGGTTTCCTCACGATGTTTACCTTCACCGTATGTCAGTGGTGTCTAAATAATCACAGGAAGTACATATAACTCGGAAAAAGTCACATTGGTACTTGCCAGGTTTCGAACCCTCATGCATGAGAAGAGGGTTCCTTAACCTCCTGGCCAGTACGATATAGGGTTTGAAATAAACCTTCTGAATTAAGTATTTGAGTACTTATTTAAATAACAAGAATGCTTTGGCTTCGCTACTCGTGTTCCACAATGTCACCTGCGACCACTAAACCGAAACAATTAGATACTCAGGTTTTAGTATTAATAAGTAAATTCTTCGCGTATTTAGTTACCACAGACACCCGCGTGGAATTCATTAGGCTCGTGTTTTCTTCCAACAAGATATTGAGATTAAAACCGTGCTTAATTTAATATAATTGTATTTGCTTTTCGCCAATTCGCTAAGTGTTTCTGTGTTACGGTCGTGTACTACAATTAGAATATTAGGAACAATTCCGTTGTTTTAGGGCGTCATTTTTGGGGAGCAGCCAGTTTTATTTTGTATTAAAATGCTTTTACATTGTTATTAAGAGTTTTGTGGTCATAATTTGGCGAAAGCTTCAGTGTCGTGGTGGAAACGGCAAAATAATGAAGATTATTTAAATCAATATTCAGTGTCGAGACCTTAGGAGTCAGTTTTGCTGGTGATCATGGAAAAGGGTGATCTTGCATGAGAACGATTTTTTTTGTGTGTTACCTGGCAGTATGGATACCCCCACCGGCGAACAACAGAGAAGTTACGAGTGTGTTGCCGACCTTTTGGGGATTAGGAATTGAAGGAATTGAAGAATGCTTCCCGCATTGGGCCTCTGGAAACGTAACTCAAACGGCGAAACACAACGCTGTGGTTGTTTCAGGCCGGTTTTCTGTGTGGCCGTGGTATCACTCCGGTCGAGCCGACCCATTTGTGCCCGAAGTATGGCTCTTTCACACTTAATAGAACGTTAGTTAAAGTCGACATAAAAATCTGTCATTGTCATCAAGTACCAGGCTGTAACAGTGACAGCGTTTGAAATGAATTTTGATAGTAGATATTTACTGTACACAGATTTTAAGCCACAACGAAACTGAACTACACCGAAATTCTATGCTAATTGGTGTATGATTGCGGTCTATTCAAAATGCTGACAGTGCTACGATAAATTACGCTGACCCAGGCGATAATTAATGCCGATCTGAGTCTGACCAGTAACCAAGGGCTTTGTTTACCTAGCTTGTGCAGATACCGTATCATTCTATTATCTGTGACCATGCGGTGCGTCCGAGGGGTAAATGGTTGAGTAAAACCATAATACTTATGGTATTGTATGCTGTGAATCACGATGGTACTGCCTTATGTAGCGTAAGTACTTTATAGGTTGGTGTCGTTTCTTCAACTAACCAGCGCGAAACATTCCAGTTAGTGCCTAACTAGTATACCTAATTGTAGTTCCTAGTGATTAAACGCGAGAATAGGATGGAAGAAAAGAGGAAATAAGATAAGAATCCTTACATTCCCATTGTTTTTTGGAATAGGGCGGCAAATGGTTTATACATATAGGATAGGTCACCTGAAGAAATGTTCGCCTCCGACGGACTCTCACAAAAGCAAAGGAGACACAAGTAAGTCGGCCTTTTGTGGGTAGTTAATAGTTAAGAATTAGAAGACAAATTTAAAAAAAATAACTTAATTTTCGAAAAGGTTATTCGGGGATTGAGGAGGAGTGGTCCTTCGGTAACTTGCCACACATGGTGAAACCCAACGTTTGTGTAGTGTCACGCCGGTTTTCTGATAGCTTGTGGTATCATTCTGGTCATGCCGGTTCATTCGTGCCGAAGGCTCCTGGTCTCCTGACTGTTCCACGCTTGAAAGATGTAATCGAGTCACTAAGAGGCAATGCCCTCAACTGGATAGAGAGTTACTCGTACCTCTTTGGTCGCTACCAGTGTGTCGAAATTCCAAGTGTATCCGGTTACCACAAATCATCTTACCGTTCTGATTACATCTTAAATTTACACGGCGTACCTCAAGGTAGTATTCTCGGGCCGCTATTGTTCTTAGTCTATATTAACGACTTACCAGATTCAACTAATTACAAATGCATCTTATATGCGGATGACACCACATTACCGATACACTCTTACAACAAAAATACGTACGAAACGGAAATTAATAACACTATAGATATATAACTACATGGCTAAATAATAACAACAACTTAAACTTAAATGTAAATAAAACAAATATAATTCAATTCCAAACACATAACAGCACCCAAATTTCTCTTAATGTCACTCAAAAAGGCAAAGCCATAGAAAAAGTAGATTCTACTAAATTCCTCGGTCTAACTATTGACAAACACTGCAGTTGGAAACTACATATAGATAAGATTTGTGCTAGACTGGATAGTTATGTTTATGTTTTGAACAGATTTAGACAAGTAGCGACTCCCAATGCTACACTATGTGCGTACCACGGCTGTATATCCTCAGTTTTACGCTACGGAGTGGTAATATGGGGGAACTCTGTGGATCTAATCCGAGCATTTAGAGCACAAAAAAGATGTCTACGTGCATTATGTGGTGCAGACTACTTAGACAGCTGCTTACCTTTATTTAAAAAATATTGTATCCTGCCGTTGCCCTGTTTGTATATTTACGAAATTTCTATTTTTGTATACAAAAACCCGGATCTCTTTATTAAGAAAAAATCTGTTACTAGTAGAAATAGTACTTAGATACCCTAATAAATTATTTGTACCGAGCCAACGCAAAACATTATATAGCAGATACTCATATTGCATGGCTATCAAATTTTGAATAAACTTCCAAATGACCTAAAAAAATCTTAACCTAATGTCTTTTAAAAGAAAATTGTTTGAGTTTTTGCTAAATAAATGTAATTATTGCACTAAAGATTATTTAGTGCAATAATAACATTTATTTAGAACTTACCTAGAGAACTTACCTACTATTAAGCTTGCACTAACTGGACCTAGCTAGATAAATAGTACCTAGTCAAAGTAGTAAAAAAAACATTAATCTAACCTTCAGACATTGTATTGTTCGATTTTAATTATTTTATGGCGAAGACGCGAAGTCGTCTTAATTCAAGACTATAAAACGATCAAATTCTATTTTTGGCCACTCAAGTAACGAATACGCTGAAAACAATTCATAAAGTTCTATTAGTGTAAAATCCCATAACATGCAACGTTATTGCCGTTTATCGTGTGTGTGGCGTTAATTGTAGACTATATAGTAAAAGAAGAAGGTCCATTTTGTTTTGTCAGTCAACTTTTATGAAGTCGGTTAAAAATAAGGCAGCGGAGGATCTGTTTTCAAATAGTTTTCTGTCGGCAGTCAACGGCTAAATTGATTGAAAATAACGCCTTATTCACGTGACTTACTCACTGAGAAAATCTCTACTAGTCAAAGTCCCAACGGTTGACTGCGCGTCGTTGCCGTGACGCGTTTGTCGCTCCTGAATAAGAATCCCGTTGTGACTTGAACCTAGAAGAGCATTTCTCAGTTACTTCACGTAAGTCGTTATTTTCCAAAATTTTGCATATCTCACGATAGTTACTGTTCAAGGCTAGGCTAGCCGTAAGCTTACTTACGTAACAGTTTGACCAGGCACTCGGCTATCTCCAAGCCAACAACGCAGTCACCGGCTGCGCGACTTTCGCCGTGTCGCCACGCAATGCTGCTCAAAGTTTCAGATTATGAGCCCCTATTTTTTAGAGTTAGTGCATGGGCCGCACCGTACGCTCGTGCATGGGTCTGGTCTGACGTCGAGCTTGCCTTGCTCGTCGTCCGCTCATTCGTGCCTACGGAGGCCGGAGATCGTGAAATGAATTCCAACGCTCGGAGTGTCTCCTACTGCAGTGTGACTTGAAGCTGGGTGAGAAAGCCGTTAAACTGAAATCGATGAAGAAATATAATTGTCGAGAATATCAAATTTATGGAAGTTTTTTAAGATTCACAGATCTTCTGGCGTGTCGAAGACTGGTATTATAGCGTCGAAGGATGCCGCAGAAAAATATGCCAAAGCATGCGACTATCATGCAATGATACCTACAGCGACAATAAAATCGTAACAGCCAGATTTAATTTCAGTAGGCCACTTTACTAGACCTAATTTAACAAAATGTGTAGGCAGTGCCATGTTGAAATAGTCTAGTCTAGATTCACTTTGTATTGTGAATAGACGTAGGAATATGAAATAAGTTAGTAATATTTTGGAAAATACTATAAAGGTCATTTTCGCGTGTATGTTACCATAAAGTTAAAGTTTACCTTCTGTTACTTCTGTTTTTTGGCGGCAACGTATGTGGTAATTTGGTATTTAAAAAGGTAACAGTTTGAAGCGATACACATTGTGACTCCCGATTGGATTGAGAGCACGCGTTTGTTTTTGTCTAGTATATTTCGTTTGTTTCTTTTACGGCAAACCTATGTGAAAAATGTGCGCTCGATTTTGGATTTTTATGCTTTGATGATAAAGGTGAGATTAATTTGATGATTATTGATAGAAATGGTTACAAATAATTTACTTAGAATTTTTGTGGTTTCATTGTTCAATGTGATAATTTCAGTAATATATTAGATTATATTAGACTAGGTTCCACACGCAGCTTCGCTCGCGTGGTATGTTGATAAAAAGCAGAAAATTTTCTGCCTATGTACATAACAAATTTCAACCAAATCAGACCAGCCATTGTTGCGAGAAATATATTTTTTCTTAACTTGAGACAACTTTCCTTATTCGGAACCAGAAAAAAAAATATCAATACTAACCAACATTACAGCAAAAATAATTCAATTTAATAAACTCAAAATAAAAAATGATTTTAGTCTTATTATGTAGAAAAATAAAAAAATATATTCAAAATTCTATTCTAAAAAACACGCTAATAGCATATAGCACATAGATTATTAAATTACAAATATCCAATTCTATTCGTTATTTTTACGCAATAATCCATTACAATTTGGTTTAAAAAAATACCTACTAGTGTGCGTACTTTATGGTTCACGGCGTACCAACAATAAAACTCATTGGACGATGTGCTTTCATCGACACGGTTTTCGAACGTGAAAAAAAAGAGAGCCATAAACTATATTTACCAAAAAATATAATTTCACTGTTGTATGGGCAATACATGACGTATACAAAATGAAACTCTAAATAAACTTGTAGAACATGATGTATATTTTTATCTCTTTATTTAGTTATTTTTTTATATGGCACTAGCTACTCTCGCGCGTTTTTACCCTCTGCTCAGCTCCATATGACCGTAGCGACATTGTAGCTATCTATCAGTGAAAGAATTTTGGCAATCCAACCAGCGGTTCTACAAACATACAAACTTACAAACTTAAAAATTTTACCTCTTTATAATATTACTATAGACTATAGACTATAGATGTAATGATAAGTTTTAGTTGACATGCTGATTTAATTACTTGTCTGTGCGATTTTTGTTTCATTTTTTTGTTAATTGTTTTCTCTTTTCTTCCTCCTTTTGCATTTTCATTTTTTTTGTTGAGGAGGGAAAATCACGGTTTATTTCTCTCGCCCAGGGTGGGGTCAAACTTTACTGTCTAAATCCACCCGATTCCTTCTTCTGCTCCAGGTCGAGGCTGCGGTACGTCACGGGCTTGACCTGCAACCCCGGCTGAATATTCGATTAACATTACCTCATTCGACGAAAGGGATGCTTTTTCCGATTAATCACTCTCTACAAACTTTTCTTATATTTTACTTTTTAACTTTAACCTTTTTTCTTATATTAGGTAGCAGATCTCAAAAAGAATCGGAATTCTATTTAGGCGTTCACGTAATAGGTAATATACTACTAATAGACCACCACAGATGGGGCCCCATCTATGGTGGTCTCTCTCGCCTTACTCTGGGCGAAAGAAGTCATTTGGTGATTTCCCCCCAGTTAAAAAAATCTGTAGGACAGGAACAAAATTCGTAATATAATAAAAAAAAATTGCTACTAGCATTCTGACTCCGCACGCAAAATACGCCTCATGAATGGTGAATTTCATTCAAGTTTATTTTAACAAAGATTAAATATTAAAATAGGATATTTTATAATATTGTAAATAATGTAATATCTTCAAAGCTGTCGCTTCCGTAAACCGGTACAGTGTTCAGAACAAGAGCATATCCTTTCAGCTTGAAATCTACAACGTTGAAAAGCTTAAAATTATTTTTTGTAACTGCATTTCATATTTGTTTACAATATTAGATTTTGTTAAGACGCGAAAGCACTTTCTTATTCTCTTCTTCATTTTCAAGATGATCAGGATTTTATAGATTCGAAATCGTAATTGTTAGAAACTTCCTAGCCTTTTTCCTCATTGAATCCTTGTCGGTTGCCACCATCAGCGGGTCATCTCAATAGTCCAACCCCAGAGCTTCCCAAGTATAATTCCTGTTATGACACATCCCTTTTAAGTATTTTTTGAGCTTTGCTGCATGGTAACATGAATAGCTACGCAATTTTGAGTAGGTACTCCTGGATTAATGTATCGTAGTTAGAGCCAAAATGGTGTCATTACAGTTCAAAAGTGATGGTGCTTATCCAACAAAAGCTACCAATGTTTTTTTATAACAAAATAAAGAATTAAGAAATCTCCTACATGTTTTGAAGTCGGCTAGAAACATTGTTCTACCTCGCCTCAAAGGGCACAGAAATAAAAAAAGAGATCTGAACAAAACAAATGAATCATAGTGAGAAAAGAAAAACTATTATCAACAAAGTTGTACGGAGATTGTTCCAGAACGTTCCAACTAAGGATTTACTTCGTAATATCCATGCTGATCCAACAATGAAACACTTTTAATGTTTTGTATATGGATAATGATGATACATTTAGTCGTAATTCTCGCGTTTATACTGAAGAAAACGTTAATGCGGATATTTTTCCTGTAACGGTGCAGGTTTTATAGTATCCCTCTTTATACATAATAAATCTACACTTTAATGCTATGTAGCGGTGGAAAAATATGGTAATTTAATTTATATAAAATAGTTTGCACGCCCCTATGCGTTGCACTTAGCATTGACGCGATCATGATGACGCAATAATAAAGTTGTGCTGCAATATAATGTTAAAAATGCTGGTTTCAATGCGAAAGTATATGTTTCTGCGGTTGAAATGTCACGTATAAGCAACCCTCTACAGCTGAGGACCTAAATAATACAGTTAAAACAATGTTCTAAAAAGAAAGGAAAAAAGGAAGCAATAAATCGATCTCTCATTCCATTCAGTGACACAGTTTTCAATGCGCTAAGTGCACTTCTAATTCCACTGATAGCGTTTAATATTTAATGAGTATACGTCGCGTGACATTATCGATCTTACTACAAAAGCGCCCTAGTTTCGTTCATAAGCTTTCCGCTATTCGAGCCTTGGCCCGTATTTGTTCTTAACTTTTTTTTCATTCGTTACTTTATTTTAAAACGCGAACGATGTGCTGTGAACGTTTAAAAAAAATAGTGATGTCTATGAATATATTCGATTAGTTCCAATTTTGAATCAGTCGTGGTGAACGAGAAATAGAACGGTATAATAAAATTTTGTTGGTTTTTAGTTGCGAAGTTTTTAGTGTATAAATTGTAGCGTTTTCCCGCGTTCTTTGTCGAGGTCGCACTTTGTTCGGTTGAAAAAAAAAATGAAAACTTAGTTCGTGGTAAAGTTATCTGTTTCCTTGGTGTGATTTGAAGTTTTAGCTTGTGATTTTTCTTTAAAATCTGTTCCTTATCGACAATGACCGAGTAGAGTGAAGTTTTTCAGTGTTACAGCATTTTGTTCGTGCAAATATGTAATATCTAAAACAAATAAATTCTGAAATGTAGGTCAACGCGAATACAAATAAACAACGTTTTGTCACGTAGTTGGAAGTTTAGTGGCGTTTTGGCACTAAATGTAACCTATTCAGAAGTTTGTTTACTATGTTAGCATAATGTAGGCTTGATGTTTCTGTGTTGTGGTCGAAACGTAACGGTTATACGAAAAAAATATTTGTGTCGGTCGGTCGGTACTGAATTGTTGAACTTTTTATTCTTTTTGTTGTTTATTGCATATTTCATTTGGTTTGAATTGGTTGTGGATATGAAAACATCTTACAATAATAGTGGTTAATAGGGATTACATTGCTGGACAGGCTTTGGATTTCAACTTGAGTAAACATAGTGTTGTTTGGTTTTAAAATTTAGTTATTTTCAAGCACAATTAATTAATTAAGTGTGGGAGAGCCACGCTTCAGCACGAATGGGTCGGTTCGACCGGAGTGATACCGTGGCCTCATAAAAAACCGGCGTGAAACAACCACAGCGTTGTATAAGAGTAATAAGAGTCCCAGTTTGACTTGTAACTAGTAGAAATATTTTTCGAATGGTTCACGGGAGTATGTCGTGTTTTTTGTGAGAAAGATCGACAAACGAACATATGGTTATCTGATGGTTATTAATCAACGCTACCCATGGATCCAACATCACAGGAGTTGGGAGTGTATTGGGGATAAGGGTTTCGGAAATTTAAGGACTAGGGAGGGATGGGGAAGGATTAGGCTTTCAGTAACCTCGCTTACACGCCGAAACACAACGCTTTAGTTGTTTCACGGCGGTTTTCTATCAATCCGGTCGAGCTGACCCATTGGTGTTAACACATAACTAGATAAGCTTTTAATTAGTAAGTCAAGATAAACCACAATATAGTATTTTTAATTACAGATTCCGCCATGATTATCTTCATATTCCTGCTGGCTGTGACCGCGGCTGTCGATGTGGAAGTAGCCACAGAACCGCCATGTCCTTCATGCCTGCTAATGAACACAACATGTTACAACATGACCTACCTCTTCGATCTCGATGCTCCCTTCAGAAAACAGGTTGTCATCACCAAAATGGATCTCCTTAGGTCCAAAAACATGCTCTACTTCAGTTTCGAACCAGCATTCGAAGACGAAGAATATTACAAAACTGGTTTCGTCAGTCTTGAAGATCTTAGTTTCCATGGCATCATTACTGGGAGTCAGATCCTTAATCTTGGAACCTTTGACATAGATCAGGCGAATGAGCAAATTTACTTCGGAGGCAGCGATGGTATATTTGTTCTGGATACAAATAACAATCAAATGGCATCATATAGTAGCCGAGGTGATACGATAACGAATGTCTTTTACAAAAATCAAGTTTATTTCGTCCGCTACGAGGAAAAAGGGATTACCGTTAAGCAAGGCAATTACTTCAACAATATTCTAGAATATTGGACTGTAAAGAAGTTTGTCGTGGTTGAAAAGGATACTGTGAACGTTATTGTGTTTTTAAGTAATTTAGGCTTATTTGTTAGCAAGGGTAAGGTCGTGCACCGTCTTTCAAAAAACGCTTATTTTAGAGGCCTCGCTGTTGATCTGGACGGAGACGTTTACGCGTGGTGGATAGATGGTATCTACAAAGTTACATTGTCAAAGGATATTAAACACTCAAGGATTGTGAAAGTAACTAATCTCCCTTTGATTGGGGCTATGGCTTTTGACAACCATAATAATATTATCATTGCTTCTGATAAATCTTTGTATTTAATGGAGAAGACAGGTCATAGTTGTGGGGTGGTCAAGACAGAATAATACGTATTAATAATAAACATAATATCTGTACATATTTCCGATAACTCATCTATAGGTCTATATAAGTATAAGCTCCTTACGTACAATTGGGTAGTTTCCTAGGTCAACAATTGAATTAATTCGATGTTTCAATACAATAAAATCTTGAGAAATAATTATACTTTTATTCATCGATCGATCGATACACTAAGTTTTAGATATTTTGTAGCTAATTAATAAGAAATCTATAATCTAATTTTCATATTATTTTTCATACAAACTTCATAGAAAAGTATTTGCATGTGACTACTTGGAAACTACCGTATTATCTTATTCCTAAAATAATAATAAAATAGAGCTTTCTAAAATACAATGCCACATATATTATGGTATTTATATTGCGAATTTTGTAAATATGTATCACTGTAATGTTATGCATTTATTGAATAATTTCATTGCAGTATTGTACGAACAAATAAACCGTAGTTAACACAAATCTATCGAAGTATTTCTCTCACATATTATTTCGTAGTTTATAATATATTATAAGTACTAGGGAACTGCACCGGCTTCACAATGCTGATACTAAATTTCTCCACTATTGAATGGATGTTATTATACATATAAATCTTTCTCTTCGATCACTCTATACGTAAAAACACCGCATCAAGATTGGTTGCATAGTTTTAAAGATTTAAGCATACCTACATAAGGACAGAAAAATGCGACTTTGTTTTATACTATGTAGTGAAGTGTGTTGAGCTCGGGACATTTATTTATTTGTCACAAAATACAACTATTATTACAGGGCAACCTAATGCAATAGTGTATTGCCTACTTAATCTAAACTACTCTACACACTTATCGGTTAGGAAAATTATATATTACTTTTTTACATTTAAACGCATCAGATGAAAAAAAGTAGATTTTTTTTATAATATTGTTCCAAGTTTGCATCTTGAATGGATCTGCCATACTTTTCTACATCACCCAAAGGTTGATTGGTGAGAATATGTCTGCTGTTAAGTCCGTCTATCTATCTAAAACTTTGTAATGATAACGGTATATAATTAATAATTTACTCTAGATAGCATAAAAACTTTATGCTCAGAAAAATGGTCCTCGACTCGATCCCTAGGTACTATTATAACATTATCATCATCAGCCTATAAGTGCCCACTGCTGAGCAAAGGCCTCTTCTCATACGGAGAAGGTTAGAGCATTAATCACCACGTTTGCTCAATGCGGGTTTCAAACTTATAATTAGAAATTATAAGTCCAGGTTTCCTCACGATGTTTTCCTTCACCGTATGTCAGTGGTGTCTAAATAATCATAGAAAGTACATATAACTTGGAAAAAGTCACATTGGTACTTGCCAGCCCACACCCTCATGCATGAGAAGCGGGCTCCTTAAACTCCGGGCCACCACGACATTTATATATAACATTATGTTCAATCATAAATCATTTATTTCTTTGCAAACATGTATGATTGATACATTGATGTTTTCTTATAATTAGATTTGGTCCCGTCACATTCTACCGTCACATGGGCATGCAAATGTTATTATTTTCACAAATGGATGGATACTACACATAATTAGATTGATACTGAATAAATTTAAAATGTCAATTATCAAAATATTTACTCAAAATGTCAGATTAATAACAATAGTAAAACAATAGGAATAATAATGCTAAATTAAATCATGTCAGGAAAAAAATTATAAAGATAAGTTTAAAAAATAATGTCAAAATAAAAGAAGTTACATGTCAATTAAACGACTTGTCATTAAGGAATTCGTCAATTGTGTAATAACATTTCTGAATTAATATTTTGTTGTCTGAAAAAAACAAACAAAAGCTCCTTTGTAACTCACATGTATTTTTAACTATTCTAAATAGCTTTTTGTATTACTTTTTATCGTCTAATTGCCTAAGGAAACCTTAAATTAAATTAGTGTTACTTCAATCTTAATTAATGTAGTATTAAGAATTAAGATTTCGAGACAAAGTACCTGTGATTTTGTTAGTAGTTTTAGATTTTTTCCGTAAGTAAAGAATTTTCGTATTGAATTTCTAAAGGGAATATTAGAATTACTTAATTATAATTTCTTATGTAAATCTTACCTTTTGGAAAATGGGAATCATTTTAATAAACATTAACAATTTATGTTTAGATAATAATAGTTATTTTTTGGTTTTGTAATGCTTAAAAATAATGTGAGTATTTTAACGAATCATATTAGGTTATCAGCTTAATGTGGTGTTAACACATTAATTGAGCTACTAATTGCTTACTACAAAAGCAAAAATGTATGTAATAATATTCAGTATAAGTGTAAATTAATGTTTAGAAATAAATGTTTAAGAATAATTGCACACACAGATGTTTACGTTTTTTTAATCCAAGTGTGAAATCTAACCTAACTTTGAAATGGTTAGGCGAAATGCGATAATTCTACGGGTCAATGAATGATAAAAAAAGGTTTTTTTTTGTAGGAAAAACAGTCAGTGAAGCAATCAGCGTTAGGACACTCACTATTAAAGTGCGTTACCTACCTTCTGGGGATTTAAGAACTGATCTAGCCAAACTTTGAAATAAAAATGGTTAGGCGAAGTGCGATAATTATACGAGTCAACTAATGATAAAAATAGGTTTTTTTTTTTTGTAAGATAAGCAGTCAGAGTAGCAATCAGCGTTAGGACACTCACTATTAAAGTGCGTTACCTACATTCTGGGGATATAAGAAGTGGGAAAGACCGAAGTGATACCATATCTTCACAGAAAACTGGCGAGAAGCAACCACAGCGTTGTATTTCGCCGTGTGAATGACATTACTAGAGGCCCCATCCCGCCTCAATCCCTAAATCCCCGATACCTGTTTCCTTAAAAGGCCATCAACGCACTTGAATTTACTCTGTTGTCGCTGTATGACATAAAAAAGTCGTTGAGGTAACAAATATTTTTTAATTAACAAATTAATATTAATTAAATACTATAATCATATTATTTTTAATTATATTTTTTAATTAAAATTAATTATAAACCGTAAGACTGCACGGTTGGTGCGGTGGCTGGGCAACTGGCTGCCGTGCAACGTGTCGCGGGTTTGATTCTCGCACGGAACAACTCTTTGTGTGATACACAAGTTGTTGTTTCGGGTCTGGGTGTCATGTGTATGTGAATATGTATGTTTGTCACCGCACCCACGACACAGGACAAAATTCTAATGTGGGGCAACGTTTTTAAAAAAACAAAAAAAAAATATCAAGATATCCATTTTGGTCCAATTTGGCCTGCTATCATCTTAAGACAGTGAATAAATTGCTACTTTTAATTAATAATAGTACATTATAGTCCTCGGCTTCTTTAGACCAATCAATGCGCCTCAGCGGTATTCACCAATATTACACACTTTATGATAAGACATTTTTCTACACACGTCTGAATAAAATAATATATCTACTAAAAAATGAGATTTATTTTTTGGGTGTTTTACGCTAGTAGCATTTTAGCGCCAATGTAATCGTAACTCAATCAATAATTAAAAAAAAACTTTATTATTCACTCGTGAAAAATAGTAATAAAAAAATCACAGTTTGATTATAAGTGCCATTATGATTGTGCCTAATTGCCATGGGATTAGAGCCACTTTATAAGGAAGTGTGTTGAAAAGTATTACTTATTCGTTAAATAACCGAGTTGGGATCATCATTATTCATATGATCCTTGTCCTTACTCATACGTAGTCGTAATTCCCACAATTGCTGTGAGGTCAGGGCGCGTGAGGTTACCGTAAGCCGCTATAATAGAAGCGATGCCGTCAATACGACGAGCTAAACAATTAGCGTCTATTGTACCAAGGTCAAGAATAGGATTACATTGATACCGAAAGATGGAATCCAATTACTTTCGAGTACCTAGTCATAAGTACGTTTATTGCGTAACACGCTTTTCAATTAATACATTTATTCGTCGAAGGGTTAGTCCGTGTGTGTAGGTGCAATAATAGATGTTATTGATAAACCTGGTGCTCATATTTTTATGTCGTAGGTCGGTAAACGAGCAGACGGATTACCTGATGGTAAGCAATCAGCGCCGCCCATCATCATCATCATCATCATATCAGCCACTGGACGTCCACTGCTGAACATAGGCCTCCCCCATTGACTTCCAGATTGGCCGGTTGGAAGCGACCTGCATCCAGCGGCTTCCTGCGACCTTAATCAGGTCGTCTGTCCATCTTGCGGGTGGACGTCCTACCCTGCGCTTGCCGGTACGTGGCCTCCACTCGAAAACCTTTCTGCCCCAGCAGTCGTCGGTTCTAATCCGCAGGGCTATGTCGGAAACCTTTGTTCGTTTGCGGACATCCTCGTTTTTTATTCGGTCTCGCAAAGAAACTCCGAGCATAGCCCTTTCCGTAGCGCGCTGAGCGACCTTGAGCTTCTTTATAAGGCCCACAGTAAGAGACCACGTTTCAGTTCCATAGATCATCGCTGGTAACACACATTGATTGTAGACTTTCGTCTTAAGGCACTGAGGTATGTTGGACGAGAAGATGTTGCGTAGTTTCTCAAACGCTGCCCATCCAAGTTGGATTCGACGATTGACCTCCTTCTCGAAATTGGACCTACCTAGCTGGATCACTTGACCCAGGTATACATATTCGTCAACCATTTCGAGGATAGAGCTCCCAACTGATATCGGATAGGGCGTGACATGGGCGTTTGCCATGACTTTCATCTTGTCCATGTTCATTCGGAGCCCTATCTGTTTAGAAACTCTACAGAGGTCATCGAGCATTGTGCTCAGATCCAGATTAGGCGCCGCCTATAGTCACTCGTAATACCAAAGGGCTTTGCTTTGCTACAAGTGCGTTGCCGGCCTCTTGTGGGTTATTAGGGTTTATTTTTAAAGATAGGAGGATTGAGAATGAAAGAATTGGGCCTCCGAGAATCTCGCTCACACGGCGAAACACAGCACTGTAGTTGTTTCACGCTGGTTTTCTGTGAGATCGTGG